CAAGCCCCATCATCCATTGTTAAATTCTTCCAAACCGCACCAGGATGGTAAAGTGAGTTATGCGGACTCTCTGTGTAAATTGTGGTCCTGATCCATCATTGTTGGCAGTTTATAATGGTCTTAGGAAGGGAGTGCAGGTATTGCAAGTCCCATTGTCCATGGTGCATCCTCCTTCAAACTGCACCTGGATGTAGAGTGCGTCATGGAGACTCAGTGTGCCAAGTTTGGTATTTTTTGGTAATTGGATGAGGGTTGCAGTGGTCTGAAGAATGAGCAATGGTACTGCAAGTCCCATAATCCACGGTCCATCCCCGGCCAAACCACACCAGGACGTAAAGTGGGTCATGAGAGGTCTCTGTGCGAAGTTTGGTCCTGATCAGTCATTGGATAAGGTTAACAGCGGTCTCAGAATGTGAGTGGTGGTACTGCAAGTCCCATCATCCATGGTTCATAGTCCTCCAAACTGCAGTAGGATGTCGAGTGGTGATGGGGGCTCTGTGTGCCTATTTCGATCTGTATTGGGAGTGTTCTGACCCAGCCCCGGCCTTTCCTTTCCTCTCTTTCTCATCTCGGAATGTTGGATTTGAGGCTGGCCAATCAGAGACCATATGCAAATTTCCTTCTGTCATGCCCCGTTTCTGCCATGAGCCCTCTTCTCCACCAGGGGCTCCTATTGAAGGTGGCCAATCAGAGACCATATGCAAATAGCACCGCAGCGGCAGCCAATCAGAACGCTGCCACATACTCCTTCCTCTGTCCGATACAAACATTCTCTTTTATTATATATATAGATATAGAAGGTGAAGGAATTTCTTTTCATTCAACTCTCATACTAAGTGCTGTAGGGTATATTTCAGAGGAAGGAACTGACAAAAACACCTCTGCTTATTCCTTGCCTAAGAAAACTAAATGAAATTCATGGAGTTCCATTAGCTGACATATAGCTTGAAGATGATGCACGCACAGAGAGACATAATGTAGTGAAAGAGGACTTGAAAAGGACAAACTTAGCAATCCAAAAACCTTTTCATCTTGGTAAAAAGTACAATACATATTGTAAAAATGTATTTTACAATAAATTATGCTCCGGTTATCTTCCCAAATAATAGTCAGGAGCAGGGCCGTAGCCAGAAAAAAATTTCGGGGAGGGTTGACAATTTCAGGGGGGGGGGGGTTGAAAATTTCGGGGAGGGTTGAAAATTTCGAGGGGGGGGGGGTTGAAACCTGCCTCCTAGCTCATGTTGAAGCAAAGAGCACAGCAGGGGCAGAGCAGCCTTCAATGGCCTGCAGCTCAGCCCCTGTCAACCACCTCCACCAAGTCTGGCCTCCTTAATGAGAGCATTCAACACATACACACCCAACTTGGTTGCTTCACTACATCGGCTATTGCTGCAAGTAATGACAGTGTGAATAAATTGTCAATATTTGCTTGAGATAGTGCTTACAGTTCTGGAGGGACTCTTAATTTTTTGCATCTCATAGACTTAGCATGGGGATTTGGTTAACCAGTTAAAATTCATGAGTAAACCAGGTTTTTTTAAAAAAATCTGAAACATTTCGGGGGGGGGTTGAACCCCTAAAACCACCCCCTCACTACAGGCCTGGTCAGGAGAGAGTATTCTAACTAACTCTTCAAATCAAATGACCAAACCTAATTCACCAGGAAAATATACCACTGACTACTTCCAATTTCACCATCACAAATATTCAGGAAGAAGCACATTTACTTTTTTTTCTCTTGATTCCTGCTGACATTTATTTTTAGCCCCAAACATCATCTTCACAACCAACACTGTGATGTCACAAAGCAGCAAAACCTAGACATACTTCCCAATATTATCTGAACACATTATGCCACATTGCCATTTGGCTGGCTGGCTACACTCCTAGAGGCTGACCTCAAAAATGAAGAAAGGCCACCAGGTAAGGAACTTATTTGTACCCAGAGTTTTGTGCTGGAAAGAGTCATGGAGGTTTTACTCAGAACCTGGGAAATTAGGAAACAACATTGATCAACCTGTGGAAACCCAGATCTTCATTGTCATATGAGTTTTTATAGGCTAAGATTATACACTGTCACATTCTCTCCCCAAACATTGCAAAACATAGAATGTGCACTAGAAGTTATAGAAATTATAAGGCAGGATGGTATAGGAAAATAATACTATGGAGTGAATGTTGCCATGCCAACTTTAAGTTCTGCAGCTTTGTGACATGTGAGTTCAATGCCGAAAATGTCAGCAGGGATCATGAGGTAAGGATGCTAATGTTCTTTTATCTACATATTTGAATATGGCGGAATTCAATAGTCCTGGATTTCCTGATATAGTCCTGGAAATTTGATGATTTTTAAGACTTGATTAGAATATTCTTCCCTAATAATAATTTTAATAATAATAATAATAATAATAATATTGTCCGAACGGATCTCCCTCTACGTCCCACCTCAGAGTTTAAGATCTTCTGGGGAGGCCCTGCTCTCGGCCCCACCTCTATCACAAGTGAGATTGACGGGGACGAGGAGCAGGGTCTTCTCAGTGGTGGCCTATGGAACTCACTCCCCGGGGAAATTAGATCAGCGACATCCCTCCTTTTTTTTAGAAGGAAATTAAAAACATGGATTTGGGACCAGGGGTTTGGAATAGACAATGGGGAATGAAGTATGGACTTTGAGTTGGCGAACACTGAGCATGAGATTGGTTATTGATTGTGATACATATTGATTGTTTTAATTGTTATAATTGTTTAACTGCTGTTTTTATACGTTTTGTATTATTGTGTAGGCATCGAATTGTGCCTGTTTGTAAGCCGCCCTGAGTCCTCCCTCGGGGGTTGAGAAGGGCGGGGTAGAAGTACACTAAATAAATAAATAAATAAATAAAATAAGAAGAAGAAGAAGAAGAAGAAGAAGCAGCTTGATTTATACCCCGCCACCATCTCCCCGATGGGGACTCGAGGTGGCTTATATGAGGCCAAGCTCTACAACACAATATAATAAAAGAAGTCAAAAACACAAACAATAGCATAATAAATTACATAAAACATAAAAATACAGCAAACAATATAAAATTAAAATAATCTAAGAGTTAATCTTCTAAGAGTTGATATACCAAGCATTGTTTATTGTGAACTATATTGTTTATTCCATTTCTTTTAGTGGGACAAGAACTGGAACGGCGACTCAACTGATGAGATTGTTTTATGGTTTTAATGGTTTTAATAACTGTTTTGATATTTGATGATGTACTGTTTCTAATATGATTTATGTTTAAAGTATGGTTTTAATATTGTAGTTGAATTTTTGCCATTATCTATGCGTAAACCGCTTTGAGTCTCCCTAGGAGTGAGAAAAGCGGTATATAAATGCTGTAAATCTATATAAATAAAAATGCAATGTTCGTTTGTGATATTAACAGAACTCAAAAACCACTGGGGGAATTGACACCAAATTTGGACAGAACACAGCATTCAGGGCAATCTATGTCCTGCACTCAAAAAAATTCCTCCCAAAAAACAGTAAGACCTTAAATTTTAAAAGAGAACACTGCGCATGCGTCCAAATCCATTTTCCCCCCCAGCGCCAGAGGCACCAACGGCACAGGCGAGAAGGCGTCCCGCAGCCATGGCAGAGAAAAGAGGCAGCGCTGGATGAGCGAGGCCTGCCTCCAAAGCGCCTCCCTCCCGCCTGCTCCGTGCCTGGCTCCGAGGATCCTTCCTCCCAGCGCCCAGGCAAGAGGTACAGAAGGGAAGGAAGGGAAGCGGCACAGCAGAAAGGAGAGAGAGAAAGAGGGAGGGAAAGAAAGTAGGAAAGAGAGGAGGAGGGGTGGAAATGAAGACCAAAGGAAGGAAAAGGAGAGAAGGAAGAAAGGAGAAAAAGAAGGAAAATAAAAGAAAAGGGGGGAGGAAGGGAGGGAGGGAGGAAGGGAGGGAGGGAGGGAGGGAAGGAAAAAAAAAGGAAGGAATGAAGGACAGAGGGAGAGAAGGAAGGAAGGTGAGAGAGAAAGAGGTATGGAAGGTTGGCCACAGCACCTACTAACCCAAGGAGTGACCATCACTCAAAAAATTGAGTTTGTTATTTGGGAGTTGTAGTTCCTGGGATTTGTAGTTCACCTACAATCAAAGAGCATTCTGAACTCCACCAACAATGGAATCGAACCAATCTTGGCACACAGAACTCCCATGACCAACACACAACACTAGAAGGGTTTGGTGGGCATTGACCTTGAGTTTGGGAGTTGTAGTTCACCTACATCCAGAGAGCACTGTGGACTCAAACAATGATGGATCTGGACCAAACTTGGCACGAATGTTCCATAAGCCCAAATATGGACACAGATGGAGTTTGGGGGACATTGACATTTGGGAGTTGTAGTTACTGGGATTTATAGTTCACCTACAATCAAAGAGCATTCTGAACCCCACCAACGACAGAATTGGGGCAAACTTCCCACACAGAACCCCCATGACCAACAGAAAATACTTAAGGCCATCCAGTCCAATTCCCTTCACCAGGGCAAGAAAACATAATCAAAGCCCTCCTGACAGAGAGCCATCCAGCCATAGATATAGATAGATAGATATGATTCACAGAGAGAGAGAGAGAGAGAGAGAGAGAGAGAGAGAGAGAGAGAGAGAGATAGTATCATAGTCCCCCCTCGGGGGTTGAGAAGGGTGGGATAGAAGTGCGCAAAATAAATAAATAGATTTGAAAGGGACCCCTAAAGAAGGACAATGATATGTTGCTTGTAAATAAATCAATTTCTGAGCTTTTTACAAAGACACAATGTTACAGATTGCTAGGTGAGTCAACTTTGGGTATTCCTTCAATGCAATGTGATTGCTGTGCAAAATCATCTTAAGTGGTGCTTTTCCTCCAAACTCAAACAGCTAGAGAGCTGAGAAACCAGTATAGTCAATCATAGACATTTTGTTCCCAAGACAACTCATAAATAGCTTGTGGTGCAGTTATTTCTTCACTTCAATAAGTAAAGCGGTCATACCTCATCAATCAGTACAAATACAAGGGCATCTTTGTCATCAATTAATGCTTGAATCTTCTGGAACATTTTAGTAACAAGTTTGCCACTCTAGGAGAAAAAATGATATATACAAGTAATTACTTCAAGGTTGGCAAGTATAAATACTTGGCGCAATGACAATTATTAACAAGGATTGAATCGTACACATTGAGCCATTTAGTGTGATGGCTTTCAAACTGCAAATTACGTTCTTCAAACAATGGCACAAATTTCCCAAGAAACATAAAAACCTGAGGCAGAAATGGAGATGCATTCTTCTCAGAAATTTGGGTGGATTGATTCTCAGTGTTCTGCCTTAGCTTTGTGAGTATGAATGCATCCTTATACATTCCTCTAATATTGAAGAATGAGCAATTTGATTAATACAGAATCCTGGGCAAAACTGGTCTTTTCTAGCATAGTGGCAGCTTCTCTGTCAATGGGCCATCAAATCTTCATTTTAGTCCACACTTCAAAAGAGTTGAACCTATTTTTGGAAACTGGATTTGGCACCTTTGTAATAACCTTCTATCAAGCTATATAAAAGTCAGAGTACCATATTTCACCACATAATAGTCAAATTTCTCCCCCTTTCCCCTACAAAAAGGGGAATGCAACTATTATGCAGTGAAAGTAAATGAGGCCTGCCCCTATTTATTTATTTATTTATTTATAGTATTTATAGTTTATAGATCAGGGCGGATCACAATACCCATATACACGGCAAAAATTCAATGTCGTTTTTAACATACAAGACATACAGACAGATAGAGGCCATTCGGCAGTTCTTCCGCCGGATCCTGGAGGTTGCTCGATTCGGCCACAGGGGGAGCTGTCGCTTCGTCCACTATGATGTCGAGCCTTTTTTTGATCGTAGTATTTCCTCCTTGCTCTCCAGCATTTTTATGGTGTCATTAATTAGTCTCCCCGCTTTAAGAAGTCCCTAATTTTTTCTACTCACAGCTCACAGCTGTTTTCGAACTGCTTAAGTCGACAGTGAGCTGGGCAACTTTTTAACAGCTATTTTTTTTTTAACAATTATTTACAATTGGGCGCTCAACCCCAACTCGGGCTTTGAACTTGCCACCTTTCGGTTGGCAGCTGATTAACCAGTTATGCTACCAGCCTGACCCTACTGATGTGCATGGATGAGAGGAGCCAACAGGGTTTCCTTTGGCTACAAAGGAAACCCTATGGGCCTCACCCACCCGTGTCAAGACCTACAGGGCCTTCTCTGGCTGCCAACAGCTGAAAAAGAGCCCATAGCTCTCCCCAGTTGGTGTAAAGGCAGGTGAGAGCTCAGCTGCTTGCTTGCATGCTTGCCAGCCAGAGCTAACACACCTCCCTCAGCTGGCGGCAGCTATGGGAAGCCTCCTAGCTCTCATGCCTTCACCCATCCATGCACCTGCCCCTCAGAGCAGGTCAGAGGGAAATCTGAGGGATTTCCCTCAGATGAGAAGGCAAGGGGCAGGTGGGTTGGCAGGGAGTGAAACTATTATTTATTTATTTATTTATTTATTTCCAGTATTTCTACCCCGTCCATCTCAACCCCCGAAGGGGGACTCCGGACGGTTTACATTTGGCACAATTTGATACCATTAAATATAACAAAGCAATATAACATTAATTAAAACAATAAATATAACATTAATTAAAACAATAAAAACCAGTATTAACCGCTGTGTCACCATTCCAGTCAAATTCCATATCCAAAGGGCTATTTATGCCTGCTGTCCAAAACTATTATGCAAAGAATTTAAAAAGACCAAAACTGGAAACTCCAAAATTGTGAGTGCAACTATTCTGTGATGATGACTATAATGCAATGAAATACAGTATGTATGTATATATGTAAATCTGTTTCATCGTTGGTTTGTACCACAAAAGCTACTGCGTGGCTTGGTGGATCTGAACCAAACTTGGCACTCATACCCTTGCATTCATTTTGTTGCATTCATTTTATTGTTCATATGTCAACTATCCTTTACACCAAGGTCCCTTCAACACAGCTGAATAAAATCCCACATTATCGGCTTTGAACTGGAACATATGGCAGTGTGGACTCAGCCCAGTTAAAAGCAGATATTCTGGGATTTTCTGCCTTGATATTCTGGGTTATATGCTTGCGTGGAAGGGCCCAAAGAGGCAAGAAAAATACAGGGTGAGGCAGCATAACTTCCTTTTTTAAAATGCACGCCATTCAGTCAGTTGAAGACGTAGCGGAGCGCTAGTGGTTTCGTTCAAGAGGCGGGAGTATAAAGTTTTGTCCTGACACAGTTCAGTCGCCATCATGCGTTGGAACAGTGAGGAGCGTGCTTTTGCCGTTGAGGCCTACTTTTCAAGTGGATTTGGAGTGGCCAGCCCACTCTTCAGATTTGGCCCCTTGTGATTTTTTTCTATGGGGTTTTTTGAAATCTCGTGTTTTTGTGAACAGTCCAAGGACCCTACAAGATTTGAAGACCAACATCCAGGAAGAAGTTGCCAACATAACGCAACTTCTTTGTCATGACTCTTGCTATGCTGGCAAGAGTCATTACAAACGCCAGAAATCAGTTTACTCAGTATATGGAGAATGGAGAATGGGGGACGTCACCTAATTTGATATTCAAAACTACATAAAACAAAACTTTAGGTATGCACCTACATTATAAAAAAAATTCTGAACAAGAATACTTCTGATAAATGTTGGAAGGGTTGCCATCAAACAGGTACTTTTTATCATATGTGGTGGACGTGTAAAGAAATAGAGAAGTATTGGACGAAAGTACATGAAGAGCTACAAAAATTTTTGAAGAGAGTTTTTAAGAAGAAACCAGAATATTATCTATTGGGATTTACAGATTTGGAATTACAATTAGATGAGAACGAAGATAGACTATTTACCTATGCTACAACAGCGGCGAGAATATTATTGGCGAAGTTTTGGAAACAGGAAGATATCCCTACCACTGAAGAGTGGTTAGGGAAATTAAGAGAAATGGACGAATTAACTTTTTTCTTGAAAAAGAATACCGGGAACCCGATAAAGAGGACAGATTGGACTCTATATGAAAACTACGAAAAGGAAATAAATAAATAAGAGGAACATTATGAAGTGGATATAATGGAAAAATCATTGAGGACACAACACCTGATGGAGAGATGGAAGTCAATTTTCATTTTTTTTCCTATTTTTTCTTTTTTTTTGTGTGTGTGTGTCTTTTATATTTTTGTATTTTCTAGTGGACTTGAGGGTAGGGGGATGTACTTCTTACTTTTTTCCTACTTTCCTATCATCTTTTTTAATATTCTCCCTCTTTCGATGTTATTCTTAAAATCTTAATAAAAAACTATTATATAAAAAAAATTCTGTTTCAACAATGGGTTTTATGCTGCCTAACCCTGTAAAAAACAGCCATTATACAAACCCAACGAACTGACATATATAGTATCCTTACAATATATATGGGCAAGAAACTTTAGATTCATCACAAAATCCAGAACTGAATTTATGAGAAAATTAAATAAACACCTACCTCAGAAAACCACTTAGAGAAGAGACTGTGACTATTTATCTCTATCAACTGTCCATAACGGTATCTGAAATTTTAATTAAAATCGTCTCATTGCTTGATAGATCTGGACCAAATATAGCACACATACAATGCATTATCCAACATAAAATAATTGATGAGTTTGAACTAAAAAGACATCCCCCTTGGTCACATAGAAGAGGAAAAGGTGAAAAAGCAAAGCAGATTGGCTGTGGCTAGGGAACCGCCCCTTTATCTTGTGACTCGGAAATAAAGGGAATGACACAGATTGGCTGTTGCTAGGTAAAATATGTATGAGGGGAGGAAGAAAGAGAAAGGAGGAAACAAAGGAGGAAGAGAGAGGGAGAAGGTGTATGGGGAGAATGGAGAAAGGAAGGAAAGAAAGAGCCACAAAGGGGGAAAAGGTGAAGGAAGGGAGGGGAGAAAGGAAAAAAAGGGTAGAGAAAGGAAGGAATGAGAAGAGAAGAGCAGGGGGACAGTGTATGAAGGAAGAAGGAAGGAAAGAAAGAAAAGAGAGGGAGAAGATGCATGAGGGAAATGGAGGAAGGAAGGAAGGAAAGATCCACAAAGAGAGTTTGCCTGTCGTTGCCAGTGTTACCTCTGGTGACATTGGGAGGTAGGCATTCTCAGAGTTGGAGAAGGAAGTAAGCAAGTGGGGCTATACTGTGATTGCCCCCCATTTAATTATGTATTACTAAGTTTTGCAAAATGTTAATGCCAAGTTTCTTACATAGAATCATAGAGTTGGAAGAGACCTCATGGGCCATCCAGTCCAACCCCCTGCCAAGAAGCAGGAATATTGCATTCAAAGCACCCCCAATAGATGGCCACCCAGCCTCTGTTTAAAAGCTTCCAAAGAAGGAGCCTCCACCACACTCCGGGGCAGAGAGTTCCACTGCTGAACGGCTCTCACAGTCAGGAAGTTCTTCCTAATGTTCAGGTGGAATCTCCCTACACTTACTATATATCAGAAATTTACTTTACAGTTTAAACCCAGATCCAACATATACACTGTTGTTTTGGGGAAAGCTGCTCCTTCATTCCCACTTTCTCTCTCTAGCTTAAGACAAGATCTCAGAAGAACTTATAAATGACTGTCTCCCAACTAGAGCTCAATTGCAGTGATATGTCCAAGTATGTTCTGGCTGCCCTTGCATACCTGAAGAAAAAGGAGCAGCCTCCACCACCAGTGTAAAATGATTTATTCCTCCCCAGATACACAACAACCAGAATGCATCCAGGAGCATTCCTGGAGCACAGCAGTGGCTGGGAGACAAAGTTACAAAGAGGCTATGCAGCTGAAGGGGAAAGATTACCATATTTCTGTGTACGAGCCCACACGATCTCTCCGATCATCTGGGGAGGTTCTGCTCTCGCTCCCGCCTCCCTCGCAGGTGCAATTGGTGGAGACGAGGGAGAGGGCCTTCTCCATGGTGGCCCCCAACTCTGGAACTCACTCCCCAAGGACATCAGACAAGCCCCCACACTGGCAGTCTTTAGGAGGAGCCTGAAAACATGGCTGTTCCAGTGTGCCTTCCCTAAATAAAGGAACAATCCCCTGCAAAATACCCTGAAAAGCACTTTAATTACCCGTTGGGTTGCTCTCTACTCTTGGTTTAAAACCCTCCTACTAGATACATCCTCGTTCATGTCCAGCATTTACTTTTAAAGTTTTAACTATTACATCGGGCTCTGCCATAGGTTTTTAAATTCTTCTATGTTATTGTCCATGTCTGAGTTATACTAATTGTATTGTTGTTTTGCTTATTGCTTGTTGTTTTTACTATTGTTGTTTTATCGGTGTGTTGTTGGGCTTGGCCACATGTAAGCCGCTCCAAGTCCCTTGGGGAGATGGTGGCGGGGTATAAATAAAGTATTATTATTATTATTATTATTATTATTATTATTATTATTATTATGCTGCATAGAGAGATACAGAATACCTCTTCCTCCAATGTCCCTCTATGTGTATTTGCTGCCAAGACCAAGGATTGCATTATTTTAATGCCTTCTACGTTGGATATTACACTGTAGGAAGGGGAGACATCCATTAGAAAACTCTCCTCTGCAAATGTCATTTAAATGCATGGTAACTGAGCAGCAGAGTAATTCCTTTGTATGGCAAAAATAACATGGCAACTTTGTGACCAGATTATTGTAATTTTTAATATACCACAACATTTCGACGGGCCTTTGATCTCTGATTGTTTTTAAATTGTTTTAAATTGTGTTCGATTTTAGCCGTTCTTGTAAGCCGCTCCGAGCCCCAAGGGAGTGGCGGCATATAAGTTCAAATAATAAATAAATAAATAAATAAAATTACCTATGTGAAAGTCTAATTGTCAGCTTCTGAGCCAGTGCTTTACATAAAGAGGTTTTACCAGTTCCTGGAGGACCTACAATCAAAACACAGTACACTTTAATGATTAAACAACTAAATTACATTTATGATAAGCACCTACTGTATTTTCTGGTGTATATGACTACTTTTTAACCCAGGAAAATCTCAAAAGTCAGAGGTCGTCTTATAGGGCAGGCGCTGAAACCTCCGAGCCGGACTGGAGAATCTGCAGTCGCTGCATATGGTGGGGGAACTCAAAAACAGCCGCATCCCCACCATATGTGGCAATTGTATGAAAGCAGCAAGGGCGGCACTGTACAAGTACAGTAGAAGAAGTGACTTAGCGTGGTCCTGATGACAAGGCGCGGGGGTGCCTCACCGGGAAGGACGTCCGGGATATGGAAAAAAGAGATAGAGTGGTGCTATTCCCAGAAAAACACATCTCTTTCACCCGTCTGGCCTGCCTTTGTATCGTATTACCGTACCTCCTTCTCTGCCTCTCAGATCTCACTCCTGAGGACTGCAGTGAAGCAGTTTAGGCATTCATGTGCGAGATCTGAGAGGCAGAGAAGGTGGTATGGTAGTAGGAAAATTACCATATTGAAATTAAATCTGATGTTTTTGAAATTTTTATTTGGCGTGTGTTGGAAGAGGGGTATACGGCGAGTATATCCCAAACTCTATATTTTAACTGGAGAAGTTAAGAGTCGTCGTATATGCCCAGTCGTCTTATACGCCAGAAAATACGGTACTTCTCAGAAGATAGGCTCCAACCTGAGTTACTTTCTCTCCAGTGTGACAAGGCTATTCACTTAAATTAAAACACGATCTAGCCACAAAATCATCATTTTAAAATGCTTCATTATATTTGTCCATATTATCAATTGTTACTAGCCCTAGCCAGTTCATGCATTTTAAAAATATTCACGTCCAACCTACATGTTACTTGGAATCATGAGTTAACCTGCCATTTTAGAAGAAGAAAAGCTGCTACCAGAAGGGCAGTCAGGAGAAGAGTGCACACTGGAAAGTCCAAGAAGAAATATTTGGCCAATGAGCTCTCTGATTTTTAGACTATATCTGAAATATTTTCTCCTGGACCTTCCAAGCTGTCAATTATGCCCAGTGCCTATTTCTATGATGTTGTAATGTTATCAGGACTTTGAGGAAGCGCCCTGGATCTCAAATGTATAAAACATATCACTTTTTGAGCTTCCATGGATAGAAAAAAAAACCTTTTGGGGACTGGAGAACACTAGGTGTCTTGCCAGCTTTAAAATAGTGTTGCTATGATAATTATAAAAGATAATGTAAAATCCTTATTACAAAATATAACTTGTACACTGAGCATACCAAAGGACTGCAGAGCTAGTCAAATTCTTTCTGCCAAACTATGTCTTAGTTAAAATGATAATCTTTACCGTGAAGAAGAACAACTCTGTTCCAGGATATCAAGTTGCTGTCAACATTTTTGTCAGAGAATAGTAATGTTGTAGTCACATAATCCAATAGCTAATTGGACAAAGAAAAGTGGAGAAAGTGATAAACAATTTCACATTGTAATAGGATTATTCCATTTCATCAAATAATTATTTCATTCTTTTACAATGGCAAAAACATGTGAAAAGCAATTATAAACCTCTAGACTATAGCACAAATAATCAACGAATTTAGAGTGCTCACTTGATGCGAAAATAATCCAATTGGTTCAAGATTAATTTTCTCTGGCTGTGAATGGATGCAGGCTTTTTTTTAAAAAAAATGAAAAATATTGTAAACAAGCCAGATTTCAAACCACCTTGAGTTTGGGCATTAAACATCCAAGTAATGAAGTCTGTAAGTCTTATTAGCTAATCTTCATTATAGTTGTGCTAAAGAGAGATAACCAGAATTATGAAAAGAATTTCTATCTCGTCACACTCTAAAGCAGGGGTCCTCAAACTAAGGCGCAGGGGCCGGATACGGCCCTCAAAGGTCATGTGCCCGGCCCTCGCTCAGAGTCAACCTGAGTCTGAAACGACTGGAAAGCACATAACAACAACAACAACAACAATCCTATCTCATCAGTCAAATGCAGGCCCACACCTCCCATTGAAATACTAATACGTTTATATTTGTTAAAATTGTTCTCATTTTAATTATTGTATTGTTTTAAAGTGTTTTTTGCACTACAAATAAGATATTTGCGGTGTGCATAGGAATTCATTCATGCTTTTTTCAAATTATAATCCGGCCCCCCAAGAGTTTGAGGGACTGTGACCTGGCCTTCTGTTTAAAAAGTTTGTGGACCCCTGCTCTAAAGTTTCTTCGATCCTCAAGATAAAAGGCTACAGTATTTTGCTTGATTCTAAAGCGGTTCTCCTTAACTAAGGCAACATGTTTAGGAAACCTATCCTAAAGTGACATGCCTTCCTTGAGACAATGAATTTCTGAAATGAAGAAATACTGTAACACAAGCTAAGTAACTAAAAATAACAGTGCTTGATCACTTTACAGGACAGAACACAATGAGATGTCCAGAGAAGAGAAAACAATCCATAGCTTTGATAGTATAGGAAGTTCATTTGAATTACAAAGGAATAATAATAGTAGTAGTAGTAGTAGTAGTAGTAGTAGTGGGGGTGGTGGTAGAATAACACACTACAGACAGTCCCCAAGTTACAAACAAAAGAGGTTCTGTAGATTTGTTCTTAAGCTGAATTTGTATGTAAGTACATTTTAAAGTGTATATGGTTTGGATAGCATAGGTAAGGGGGAAAACCCGTGATGCTAGTTTTGCTGTTCCGAAGACTTCACCTCACTTTCTGTCCCTATGATAACTGGATTTTAGCTTGTTGTGGATACAAAGATTGATAATAAAGGTGACACCTTTTTCCTATGTTAACTCTTTCAGGGATAAAATTTTAAATTTTAATATATTGGAATTGTGCGTGTTTTAGGGCATTGAATAACTGCCTTTGTTGTAAGCCGCCTTGAGTCCCCTTCTGGATAGAGAAAGGTGGGGTATAAATAGGGTATATAAATAAAAATAAATTCCTAATAGTTGTTAGGAGCCCCGGTGGCATAGTGGGTTAAAGCGCTGAGCTGCTGAGCTTGTTGACCGAAAGGGAGCGGCATGAGCTACCGCTGTCAGCCCCAGCTCTTGCCAACCTAGCAGTTCAAAAACATGCAAATGTGAGTAGATCAATAGGTCTCCAGCGGGGAAGGTAATGGCGCTCCATGCAGTCATGCCAGCCACATGACCTTGGAGGTGTCTACGGATAACACTGACTCTTTGGCTTAGAAATGAAGATGAGCACCACACCCCAGAGTCAGACATGACTGGACTTAATGTCAGGGGAAAACCTTTACCTTTACCTGCCTAACAGTTGTTAGGAATTCTGGGAGTTGAAAGTTAAATATAATATAATGTAATCTAATATATTGTACATAATATATTATATAAATATATAATGTAATACAATATAATAATATTATAATTATATATTTTATATTACACGTAATATTACTAATAATATTACAATGTAATGATATAGTAGGTAAAGGTAAAGATACTCCTTTGACATTAAGTCCAGTCATCTCTGACTCTGGGGTGTGGTGCTCATCTCCATTTCTAAGCCGAAGAGCCAGCGTTGTCCGTAGACACCTCCAAGGTCATGTGGCCGGCATGACTGCATGGAGCGCCGTTACCTTCCCGCCGGAGCGCTACCTATTGATCTACTCACATTTGCATGTTTTCGAACTGCTAGGTTGGCAGAAGCTAGGGCTGACAGCGGAAGCTCACGCCGCTCCCCGGAATCGAACCTGCGATCTTTCGATCAACAAGCTCAGCAGCTCAGTGCTTTAACCCACTGCGCCACCGGGGGCTCCCAATATAGTACAATATAGTAATATATAATACTGATATTGTACTATGCTAATATAATATATTGTATCTATCTATCTATATATATCCTGTAAGCCGCTCTGAGTCCGCTTCGGGGTATAAATGTCGTAAATAAATAAATAAATTTCCCTCCCGAGGGGCAGATTTCTCTCACTTCCTGTTGTCTCACTCCTGTTCTTAACTATGAGCGGTTTGTAAGTCGGATGTTTGTAACTCGAGGACTGCCTGTAGTTAGAAACATGCCTTCTTTGCTCAGTTCACCACAAATAGGGCTCATGACAACTGGCTGTAATAAGCAACAATATAATGAATTTGGGTTGACTACATGGAAGGATTGTTGTTCCACAAAGTAGCAAGTGAGGCTGGTAGATGTAGCATTTCTTTTCCTGCCACTGAAACTCACTCCACTCTGTACAACAGTGGTTCTCAACCTGTGGGTCCCCAGGTGTTTTGGCCTACAACTCCCAGGAATCCCAGTCAGTTTCCCAGCTGTTAGGATTTCTGGAAGTTGAAGTCCAAAAACATCTGGGGACCCCAGGTTGAGAACCACTGTTGTACAACATCAGTCTCGCTGCAGAAACCTCTCTTTCTGCTTCTGTGAAATCATTATTTTTATTTCTCTAATTTCACAGTCCTTCACTTCTACCTAAACAATATCACAAGTGAGAAAGAAGAGGCCATTGAATGGTAGGAAGACGAATGTTTAATACGTAATGCACACTTTATACTTACATTGGATTTTATTTCAACATCATAAATAAGGCTATCCCACAGACCATGGAACTCAACTGTAAAACACAAACAGTACATGTCATCCCAATTATAAATTTCTATAAAGCAGTAAAATGTTAAAACTGTCTTTAATATTCAGCAATAGTGCAGTAGAACTCTTCTGATATGACTTCATTTCTTACTACAATTCAAGAGACATGATCAACAACAGGTTAAGCAGTTTTATGCGTCCTGCATTTTTTAAAAATTATTTTTAATATTTTATCATGATTCAATACATTTGTTATACATTGTTTGTTTTGCAGCAGATACATATTTTTCAATACAACCTACCATACAATGTTGCATCTAGTGTTATTTTTCTGCTTATACATATTTTCTATCCCTCACCGCTGTGCTCCCCACCCCCCACCCCCCAAGCCACAGCTTTTACATATCATCTGTCCAAAATTTCAATTCTTCTTGTGGAGGTAACTTTCCTTCTTTATTTTTAAATCCTTTTTCAATAAATTTTCTCCATACATCATCAAAATCACTTTGTTTCCATATACCTCTTTTAACTTTTAATATACATGTCATCTTATCATTTATTGCCAATTTCCATACTTCCTTATACCACTCCTCTATTTGTATATTTATTTTTCTTTTCCAGTTCCTTGCTATAAGCAGTCTTGCTATTGTTAATAAATTTGTTTTCGCATTTTTATCCTCTTTTTTCAGTTGTTTATTATAAGGCTATACTAGGACTTCTTTCTATTTTAATGCTCATTATATCTTCTATTTCTCTAAATACTTTCCCCCAAAAATTATTTACATATTTACATTGCCACCACATATGCATATATGTTCCTGATTTTTGGCATCCTCTCCAACAATTTTTTGAGTAGTTTTTATTTATATTTGCTATTCTTACTGGTGTAAGGTACCATATCCATATTAACTTATAGTAATTTTCTTTATCCCGTATTGATAAATTCTTTTGATGTCTTTGTCTCCATAATTGTTGCCACTCAATAACTAGTAAAGTATATAAGATAATAATTGAAATAAAGGAAGGAAAAACAAAAAAATTACATCCCCAAGGAGATCTGGGAAGAAGATTTAGAGATAAAAATAAATGAAACAGAGTGGCAACAATGTATGGAGACAAAGACATCTAAAAAACTTATCAATGTGTTCTGCATTTTAATAGATTTTAGTCCAGAAATTTAAGCTCAACATTTCTATTGACACTTAAACCCGATTCAGTTTTACAAGATAATGAAAGGCACAGCTACAACATATTTTCTTGTCCTTGCAGGGATGCTTTCCATTATAGAATTCAATGTACTTTATTTCAGAACTCCCCCCCCATATATATAGTTTTGTTTTCCATTTGCTGCTTACCTACCTACCTACGCCTACCTACCTGCGTGACCGCATCTCCATATACGAACCCACCTACCTACCTACCTACCTATGCCTACCTGCATGACCGCATCTCCATATACGAACCCACCTACCTACCTACCTACCTATGCCTACCTGCATGACCGCATCTCCATATACGAACCCACCTACCTACCTACCTACCTACGCCTATCTGCATGACCGCATCTCCATGTATGAACCCACGATCCCTTCGATTCATCTGGAGAGGCCCTGCTCACGATCCCACCTGCGTCGCAAGCGCGTTTGGTGGGGACGAGGGACAGGGCCTTCTCTGTGGTAGCCCCCCCGACTCTGGAACTCTCTCCCCAAGGACATCAGACAAGCCCCAACGTTGGCAATCTTTAGGAAGAGCCTGAAGACCTGGCTGTTCCAGTGTGCCTTTCCAGAATAGGAAACTCCTGGCATCATGTCCCAAATGCACTTTGTTAGAGTTTTAGGACTGTCTGCACATTGCACCTACCTCTAAAAACCTCTACATACCACCTGTCAAGTCCAGCCCTTTTTAAATTTTATCCATTACATTTGGTTTTAAATGCGTCGTGGTGTCAGTTTTAGTGTTTTATTGTTTTGCTTGATGTTTTATTATTTTCTTTATGAGTTTTACTGTTGTATTTATATGCTGTTGTTTTGTTGGTGGCCTTGGCCTTTGTAAGCCACATCGAGTCCTTCGGGAGATTTTGCAGGGTATAAATAAAGTTAATAATAACAATAATAATAATAATAATAATAATAATAATAATAATAATAATGTTCCTCCACAATTCTCATGTAAATGTGCCCCTGCCCACATAAGCAACAAAACCATGCTCCAAGATCCTCTTGAATAAAAATAAACAACCACATGCCTTAAACTTGTACTTTTTCTGAATTCCTTGGCGACTAGTTTAAAAGTTGTAACAAAGGAAAATACCTGTAGGTAATACCCAGTGATTAGCTGCAATAATATCCTCATCCTCTGCTTCTAGATTTTCAGTACTGGGTGCTTCTTCATTGAGATGAAAAATAAGGATTGAAAGGCTGCACTTATGCAGGCTAATAGGCTGCAATGAATAGGGACAAACAAATTAGGCTGTAATCCGATATATTTGCCAGGAACATGTTATCTTCTACTGAACTCTGATTATTATTTATTTATTTATTTATTTATTTACTTCATTTGTATACCGCTCTTCTCAGCCCTTAGGCGACTCAGAGAGGTTTACAACCAAATCAGTATACAAAGTGCACAACATTAGCATTTAAAAGTGGTAACCATGGCAACTACATCAATATAACAATACATCAATACATCAATATAACTAATCACGTCTCATCAGTAAAGTCATAATCCGATCTCATTGTCCATTATTCCATGTTCCAATAATCAATCAATTAATTGCACTGCTTAATTAAACGCCTGTTCAAAGAGCTGAGTCTTCACTCTCCTCCTGAATGCCAATCTAATGTCTGGGGGAAGGACGTTCCACAGCCGAGGGGCCACCACTGAAAAGGCCCTGTCTCTCGTCCCCGCCAGCCGTGCTTGTGAAGCTGGTGGGATCGAGAGCAGGGCCTCCCCGGACGATCTTAATGTCCTAATTGGTTCATAGGGGGGATGCGTTCGGAGAGGTAAGTGGGCCAGAACCGTGTAGGGCTTTATAGGCTAAAGCCAGCACCTTGAATTGTGCCCTGGTAGCAGAGGCAGCCAGTGGAGCTGGCGCAACAGAGGAGTTGTATGCTCCCTGAGTGCCGCTCCTGTTAGCATCCTGGTTGCCGAGCGTTGGACCATTTGAAGCTTCAGAGCAGTCTTCAGAGGCAACCCCACGTAGAGAGTGTTGCAGTAGTCTATACGGGATGTAACCAGCGCGTGGACTACCGTGGCCAAGTGTTTATATTAGACATTTCTAGAATTACATCCTCAATCATCTTTTAGTAAATAATTCTGGAATATTTTAAGTGATTTTTAAAATATATAGCCCATGAAATATCATATTTACCAAGTTATAACAACGGTACTATATAGGCTGTTTTGGAAGAAGTATGGGGTGAGGCAGCATAACTTCCTTTTTTAAAATGTGTGCCATTCAGTCGGTTGAAAACATAGCAGAGCGCTAGTGGTCTCGTTCGAGAAGCGGGAGTATAACTTTTCTCCTGACACAGTTCAGTTGCCATCATGCATTGGAACAATGAGGAGCGTGCTTTTGCTGTTGAGACCTACTTTTCGAGCAGATTTGGAGTGGCCGGCCCGCTCTCCAGATATGGCCCCTTGTGATTTTTTTCTATGGGTTTTTTTGAAATCCTGTGTTTATGTGAAGTGTCCAAGGATCCTGTAAGATTTGAAGACCAACATCCAGGAAGAAATTGCCAACATAACGCCTGCTATGCTGGCAAGAGACATGACAAACGCCAGAAATCGGTTTACTCAGTGTATGGAGAATGGGGAACGTCACCTACCTAGTTTGATCTACAACACTACGTAAAACAAAACTTTAGGTATGTGCCTACATTATTTTAAAAAATCTGATTCATACAATGGGTTGTATTATTATTATTATTATTTTTGAAAAAAAGAAGTTATGCTGCCTAACTCTGTATTTAGCAAATGGAATCTGGCACAAATTATAGTAAATCTGCCTGATTTATACTTGCAACAGAATGAGGTAGTACTTTGGAAATAACACATCAGAATGTTGCTTGGAAACACAGGGATTTTTCCCCTTATTTTGCTCATGCAATGTATTTTGTGTAAGTCTAATACACATTCTCTGTTTTGATAGTTTACTGTTTACAGGAGCTGTTCTTGTAAATAACTTTCTAAAATGTGGTCCTTCATGAGCTAATAATAAACAATGTTGTTTCTGCTCCATTATTCCCAACTTATGAATTATGTGTGAATACATATTATCCACTGTCTTGTAGAATTGAAAATAAGGGATCAAATAGTCTGGGGAAAAATTTCATCCAGAAAATATAAATATTTTGTCTTACAAAAGAGTTCTGAATAATGTAAGGTTTTTTCATACCTGTCTTTCCTTCAGCTTTAATTCTGTATCCACAATTGCAATGGATTGCACATTGTTTGTTAGGAAATGGTCATCAAACTCCGTCCACTTGTAATCACCAAATACAATATTATGTCTATTTAATAGCTTCAGGACACTCAAGCTGATATCTTCTTTCTTTGCAGTGCTGATTAGGATGGGGGCAAAAATGTAATTTCTTCAGCTATATAGTAGTAGTAGTGGGTTTTTATTACGGCCAATGACCAGCATCAAAAACAAATGTCAGAATAAGAACATATACATTTAGGCATTAAAAAACAATGTCAAAAGCAAAGTTAAAAACCAGCACTGAATATGATAGTTAAAACAGTATTAAACATTTATATGATAAGATGACAATGGTATAAACTAAAATAAATATTAAAACCTTCTAAGGGTGTGATAGCATATTTGTGAGAGCCTGAAAGAAATGGCAAAGCTAGGACTAACCAATAACCTTCCTTTCAGTCACACACAAAGAATTATAGAAATAGACCACAAGGGTATCCAGTACAATCCTCTGCTGTGCATAAAAGTATGCTAACTCCAGTAATCCTGATTACTGCATCCTTGTTCATACCTAAAGTGTATATGGAAGAAGAAACGTTAAGAAAATAAAATTGAACCTAAGATGCTAACTTTCACTATACAAGTAAAGTAATAGCCAAAATTAAGAAACCTGTTAATTAGTCCCTATCCAGACAGTCCCCAAGTTACAAACATCCACCTTACATCTGACTCCTAGTTACAAATAGGAGTGATATAACAGGAAGTGAAAGGAAAACTACCCCTAGGAAGGGAAATTCACTTCTGGAAGAATAATCATGGGGAAAAGGTGTCTCCACTGAAGCTTTTGTCACCAATCCTTGTTTATATGATAATGCAAACTTTTCAATATGCAGTTGTGTCATAACTTTTCAATATGCACAGATTTGACAAATATGAATTTAATATGATGTGTGGGAATGAATGGAAGAATGGAAGGTGGATGTATGAATGGAGTTAATAATTTTGGAGACACCAGTATAATATTAAGGCCTGCAATGACTAACTACCTGCTTGCTGGACTTGCTAATGAGAAACCCTGATAAGAACTGGGACAGTAATAACAGAAATGTTTGCAACATTCCTTATGTTAAGAAGGAAGTCAACACAAGCCTTATGTTTGTCAACACCAATCAAGAAGAGTCAACATCTGGCCAGGAAACTGAGATGGAGCCAGGATGGAAGACATCTATCATTAATTTACAACTTTGGGACTACATCAGCAGAATATTCCTATAAAACACTCAGTCTAATAATGCTCAAAGTGTGACCGACCTGAGGAGTCTGGTACACCCGCTATCCTCTGCTCCATGGGAAGGAGAAAGATAGTGTACCTATGGATAGTGGCAGATTTGCACGGGAGCAGTCTGGTCACTTTGGGGCTTCTTTCTCAAGGGAATCTTAGATTTTGTGCAGGGAGTCAGGTTCTGCTATATGGAAAAGAGATCTGGAAAGAGATCTGGTCCTTGGCACTGTTCTTAGGGGAAGAAGTTTTGAAGTTTTGGCAAAGGAGTCTTAGATTTTGTGCAGGGAGTCAGGTTCTGCTATATGGAAAACAGAAATCTGGTCCTTGGCATTGTTCTTAGGGAAGAAAATTTGGCATTTCAGCATTTTGAAGTTATGGTGTTATGGAAGTTATGGAACCATAAGTTGGCAGGCTGCAGGAAAGCAAGGTCTGGCCTATCAGGAGCTTCTCCAAGGAGGGAGAAAATGATATGGCAATATTTGGATGCATGTGGATGAATGCGTGTACATGTGTGTGAATGTTGAGTGAAAATGTAATTCCCCTTTGTTTGTTAACCAATGTAATTGTAAATCCAATGCATGGAATCTGTATGTCTGTATGTCCAATGTATAAATGTTTTTCCGTAATCTGATATACCCTCTCACACTGGAAATTGCAATAAAAAGAACCTATGCTTCTAAGTTGTTGAAAAGTCATTCATGACAGTTATCATAGGAACAGAAAGTGAGGTGAAATCTTCTGAACAGGGTCACAGACATAAAAAAAAGTTACAGGGATGCTAACTCTTCCTTTACCATAAAAATGGCTGGAGTTACACTTTAAAATGTACCAGTTCCAACTTACATAGAAATTTAAGTTAAGAACAAACCTACAGAACCTATCTTGTTTGTAACCTGGGAGCTGTCTGCATATAATAAGCAAGATATATAAGCAAAATATACATACAAACCTGCCTTCTCAAAAATAATTTCCTCAACTTTAAGAAATGGGAGGAGAGACAAGCCATATGCTTTGCAAATGGTTCCTAGAATCAGTTCCAAACATTTTCATCCAAGATATCTCCAAAGGGTCTTTAAAAGCTTCTGGCTGTTACTTTGGAAAGTGTATAATGATCAAACAGTTTCACAAATGTAACCTCTCAATTGCATCCATTTTGAGTAGCAGATGGAATCATAGAATCAAAGAGTTGGAAGAAACTTCATGGGCCATCCAGTCCAACCCCCTGCCAAGAAGCAGGAATATTGCATTCAAATCACCCCTGACAGACGGCCATCCAGCCTCTGTTTAAAGATCATTTTTAGTAAAAAAAAATTCAAGACCTGTGGTAAGATCCATACATTATTTTATGGATAATGCCTTTGGGCACCATTCATTTCTGCCCTTGCAATACACGGCAATGTAAAAGTGATCAGGAGAGGTGCTCTGTATAGGAAATATTTCAGATTCAAAACCAACCTGTTTGATTTCTGATGAACTTCTATATGTATAGGCAAGGACTCACAGTCATTTTGAAGAGCCAGTTTTAAACCATTTGCAGTTTCATCCATTTTATAGATACCTAATTGGTAAAAATAGAAAATATGAAAAAATTAAAAATAGTTGGGTGTTTCTTCTGTTTCAAAAATGCTAGCCTTGTGTGTTTATCAGACACACAAGGACAAATATAACAAGAAACATTTAGTCAAAGATAGAAAAATTACAAGAAAAGTAATGGAAACGTAGTAACTGTTTACCTTCTATCCTATCCATTTTAGGTTTCCTCTTATACACAGTTCAATTTTGAGAAAAATTAATTTTGTAAAAGCAAATATGATTGGCAGAAGCTTTAGAAACAACTTTGTACTGTAGTTATATTGCATTTATTTGCTTTAGCCTGAAATTATAGCAAACAACATAAATAATAAAAGACAAATAAGGTATTAGTTTGTATAATACAATGAAACATAGTAAAATTCTGCATTTTCAAACACACCATAACTTTACACAAGATTAAAACAATGAATAAAATCAGAATATAGACTGAACTAAAAGTTACTCAAATGCTCTAATTTAACTAAGGTGAGGGGAAAACCAGAACGAAATACATTGTGTAATGTATTTTCTAGTTGTCCCTCCACATTTGTGTATTTGATTATTTCTCCAGGAATCTGTAGACCCTCCACATAATTCTGAACTCAGTTTCCAGGTACCACAAATGAATATGAGGGTTGAACGAAAAGTAATGCCTCCACCTTTGTAACTCCTCAACAGATGGCAATACTGGTATGCGGTAGGTACTGGTTTGTTCAGTAGACCCTTCTCTACAGTTCCATATTAGCGGGAAGCCTTAGCATTGAACGGCTGTGTTGTTAAAGTGCGAAGCATGGAACCCTGTGCAGACGGTTGGTCAATGTGACTTAAGCAACGCGCAGTCATTGAATTCCTGACAGCAGAAGGTGTCACCCCAAAGGAGATTAATCAGAGAATGCAAATTGTTTATGGTGATTGTGTTAATGTGAGTACTGTGAGTTGTTGGGTGAGTAAGTGTAAAGATGTTGAGGTGGGAACATCTGACCTGCATGACAAAGAGTTGGACATCCTGTGACAACAACCACCGAGTTTCACAAGCAAAAGGATGACAAATTGATTCAGGACTATTGTCGTATCACTCAGAGAAATTTCAAGTGTAATCAGCATTTTGCAAGAATGTGTGGGTCACATTATTGCTTTGTTTGGCTATTGAAAGATCTGTACACGATGGGTTGCGGAAACAGAGTGTAGACTTCTTTGGAAAACTTGTTCATCTTTGGCAGAAATGTATCCAATGGTCTGGTGATTATGTGGAAAAGTGAATAGTGGTAATTAAAGAGCACATTCCAAGGATTTATTAAAATATTCCCATCCAAACCCAAGTAATGAACATGGGGGTTTCACTTGAACGTCAATTGGTCCAGCGTTCGGCAACCATATTACTAACTGGGGCGAATTACAGGAAGCGGTCAAACCCCCTGTTTAAGGAGCTCCATTGGTTGCTGTTCATTTTCTGGTCCCAATTGAAGGTGCAGGTTATTACCATTAAAGCCCTGAACGGTTTGGGACCCGCCTACCTACCACAAACCTGTACGATCCCTTTGATCCTCTGGGGAGACCCTCCTTTCGACCCTCTATCACAGGAATGACTTGCGGGAACAAGGGAGAGGTCCTTCTCCGCTATGGCCTCCCAAGCTTTGGAACTCGCTGCCTGGTGAGATCAGGCAAGCCCCCACCCTAGCAGCCTTTAAGAAAGATCTGAAAACTTGGCTCTTCCAATGTGCCTTTGGAGAGTGACCATAAATCCCATTTCTGTCTGATCCATCTATAGTGTTGTCCTTATGATGCACTTTCCCCCATCCTTAATGAAGGCCTAACCTCACTGTTCATTCTTTTTGAGCTCTTCCTGCACAAATTCACTTTTTACTCATATCTCATCCAGGGTTTTATCATTTTACCTCGTGCATTTGGCCCACCCATTGTGTTCTACTTTTATTATGTTATTTTGCRCTATTTATTTTATCTTGTTAATTTATGTATTCTATTGTGATGWGATTTTTGTTGTTTTTGCTTTCATTTTGCTGTGTTGTATCTTCAGACTTGGCYTCATGTTAGCCACCCCGRGTCCCCTCTGGGGAGATGGTGGCAGGGTATAAATAAAGTTTATTATTATTATTAATATTAGTATTATTATTATTATTAACGAAGGTGAAGGAATTTCTTTTCATTCAACTCTCATACTAAGTGCTGTAGGGTATATTTCAGAGGAAGGAACTGACAAAAACACCTCTGCTTATTCCTTGCCTAAGAAAACTAAATGAAATTCATGGAGTTCCATTAGCTGACATATAGCYTGAAGATGATGCACGCACAGAGAGACATAATGTAGTGAAAGAGGACTTGAAAAGGACAAACTTAGCAATCCAAAAACCTTTTCATCTCGGTAAAAAGTACAATACGTATTGTAAAAATGTATTTTACAATAAATTATGCTCCGGTTATCTTCCCAAATAATAGTCAGGAGAGAGTATTCTAACTAACTCTTCAAATCAAATGACCAAACCTAATTCACCAGGGAAATATACCACTGACTACTTCCAATTTCACCATCACAAATATTCAGGAAGAAGCACATTTACTTTTTTTTCTCTTGATTCCTGCTGACATTTATTTTTAGCCCCAAACATCATCTTCACAACCAACACTGTGATGTCACAAAGCAGCAAAACCTACAGTTGCCATAGACACACTTCCCAATATTATCTGAACATATTATGCCACATTGCCATTTGGTTGACTGGCTACACTCCTAGAGGCTGACATCAAAAATGAAGAAAGACCACCAGGTAAGGAACTTATTTGTACCCAGAGTTTTGTGCTGGAAAGGGTCATGGAGGTTTTACTCAGAACCTGGGAAATTAGGAAACAACACTGATCAACCTGTGGAAACCCAAATCTTCATTGTCATATGAGTTTTTATAGGCTAAGATTTATACACTGTCACATTCTCTCTCCCACCCATTGCAAAACATAGAATGTGCACTAGAAGTTATAGAAATTATAAATAGAAAAAAGACAGAAAAAATGAATAGTTTTTTACTTGAACACTGAAATAAACAGTGACATGGTTCTCTCTTTCTCACCACAGATTAAAAGAGATTTGTTGGATCTCCTCTGCCAGAATTTTTAAGGCGCTGCACAAATATATTATTGCCAAGTAATATTGAGAAGATGAGTTGTAGTCCATATGCACCTTGAGTCTGTGTATGCTACCAATTATGGATTTGAAGCAAACATGGTACACAAATCCATCATGATCCAACTTAAAATGCTAGCTGTGTTTGGGGAAGAGAATTGACAGAAGTCATGGGAGTTCAAGTCCACACCACATCCAGACAGCCATGTCATGGCCACCAACAATGGATCTGGACCAAAGGTGGAACACATACCCTTCATGAGCCCACTTAAAATACTGCTGAGGTTAAGGAGGCATGATAATGAGAAGTGAAACCTAGTCATCTGCCTGAGTCCCACTCACAACCAAAGGAGTTCCTCTCTTCCTAACAGACCAGGAGGTTCACTCTACCTCCCAACTCCCAACTCCAACATCTGTAGCCTTCACTGCATAGCCTGGTGGTGATGGGAGTTGCACCCCAGTGTGACTGACCTGTACACTGCCCCCCCCCCCAATCCACCCACATCTAGGGCTAATGGGAGTTACAACACTGGACAGATTTCAGACTGTAAAGAAAGGAAAAGAAAGGAAAAGGGAAAGAAAGAAAGGAAAAGGGAAAATAATAAGAGTGTGAGAGAAGGAAAGAAAGAAAGAAAGAGAAAGGATGAGAAAGGAAGGGAGAAGACAGGGAACAGGGGAAAAGAAAAATGAGGGAAGGAAGGAAAGGGAGAGGCATAGAAGGGACAAAAGAGGGGAGGAACAAAGAAAAAGAGGGGAAGACAGAGGGAGGAAGAGGAAGGGAGGGACAGATGTATGAAGAAAAGCAAGAGAAGAGTGAAAGAAAGGAGGAAAAGAGAGAGGGTGAAGGTGTATGAGGCAAATGGAGGAAGGAAAGAAAAAGCCACAAAGAGAGGCTACCTACAATTGCCAGAGCATTGCCATGGAGACATTGTGAGGCAGGCTTTCTCAGAGCTGGAGAACAGAGAAAGTAGCAGCCCCACTAATCCCTAAGTAACTCTGGGTATCTACACTAGACAGTGGTTCCAACCTTTTTTGTCGCAATCCTATTTTATATAGGCAAAGTGACCCGCATCCCCCATACATTAAAAATCAATGACCCGCTGCCCCAATGCACTAAAAACTAGAGCTGCTGGCACTGCTACAGTAGCGCCTATGATGTCTGGACCTTACAGCATGGCACAGCTTTTGGTTGATTGCTCTTGGCTGGCTGCTCGGCTGGCTAAAGAAGGGAAATAAAGCAATATGCTGGGCGTCAAATTCCTGGAAGCGGGATCATTCAGTTCATGTTGACCTAAGATTTTTTATATTTTGCACTTTGTTGGCATTGAAGAAAAACCATTGCTGCCCGCAAGAAAAGGGGCTAGGGACTCAGCACGCATGTATCTCTAAGAATCGACCAATCACAAGCCGAGCAGCATCCGCATTTCATAGAGCCAATTCCCAAACTGTGCATGAACCTGTTGGGAACAACAGTTTATCAAGATTCGAAGTGAACACACAAAAAGCTAAAGCAAGAGTTGAACAAATACAACAAGTAGCAATCAGCGAGGGACAATAATCTCAAATAAACAGCTATGGGGAATGTGTTTACACTAATGACCAGAGCATGGGAAATAAACAAGATGAACTGGAACTCCTAGCCAACAAAACAGTTAAGATGTATTAGGCATAACTGTGCTCTATTTACACCCCTGAAGAGATGCAAGACTTCAATCCTGGAAACCAGGTTGAAAACATTTGGATAAGAATTCAAGAACAAGGACTAAAAATGTAGTTGTGGAAGTCTAGTAAATGTGGGCTAAGCAATACTACTATTAAGCGGATCTGTAATTGGTTAAGCAAACGAACCCTAAGGGTGCTCATCAATGGTTCCTCTTCATCTTGGAAAAAAGTGACTAGTGGAGTATCACAGGGCTTGGTCCTGGGCCCAGTGCTGTTCAACATCTTTACTAATGACTTGGATGAAAGTTTAGAAGGCGTGCTTATCAAGTTTGCAGATGACACCAAATTGGGAGGGACAGCTAATACTCCAGAGGACAGGATTCAAAATGACTTTAAATGATTAAAGAGCTGGGTCAAAACTAACAATGAATTTCAACAAGGACAAATGTAAGATACTACACTTAGGCAGGAAAAAATGAAATAAAAATGAAATGCAAAGATACAGAATGAGTGTCATGGATAGTGCATGGCTCGACAACAGTCCACGTGAAAGAGATCTTGGAGTCCTTGTGGACAACAAATTAAACATGAGTCAACAGTGTGATGCCGCAGATTAAAAAGCCAATGGGATTTTGGGCTGCATCGAAAGGAGTCTAGTCTCTAAATTGAGGTAAGTCATGGTGCCTTTGTATTCTACTTTGGTTAGGCCTCACCTGGAATACTGTGTCCAGTTCTGGGCAACACATTTGAAAAGAGATATTGATAAACTGAAAAGTGTCCAGAGTAGGGCGACTAAAATGATCAAGGGTCTGGAGACCATGCCCTGGAGATTAGGGGCCCTTCCAAACAACCATATAACCTATGAGGAGCACCTTAAAGGTACTGGCCACAGTGGTCCACGCTCTTGTTACATCCTGAATAGATTACTGCAACGCGCTCTACGTGGGATTGCCTTTGAAGACTGTTCGGAAACTTCAATTAGTCCAACAGGCGGCGGCTAGATTACTCATCAAAGCATCATACAGGGAGCATACCACCCCCGTTATGTCAGCTCTACTGGCTGCTGATCCAGTTCCAAGCACAAAGTGCTGGTTTTGACCTACAAAACCCTATACGGCTCCGGTCCAGCGTACCTGTCCGAACATATCTCCTTCTACGTCCCACCTCGGAGTTTGAGATCCTCTGGGGAGGCCCTGCTCTCAGCCCCATCTTTATCACAAGTGAGACTGGTGGGGACGAGGGACAGGGCCTTCTCGGTGGTGGTCCCTCGCCTGTGGAATTCACTCCCCGGGGAAATTAGGTCATCAACATCCCTCCTCTCTTTCAGAAGGAAGTTAAAAACCTGGATATGGGACCAGGCCTTTGGGTAAGCTGGCAGATGGATAAAGGACAATGACGACCAGAGTAAGAAAGGACTATGATAATGCTAGATGGACTATGGATTTATGAATTGGCGAACATTGACCAGAAGATGATTTTATTGCTGCTATCTTATTAATTTAATTGTTTTAACTAGTTATAATTTTTGTTGTTATATTGTATTTTGTATATTGTATTTTGTGAATTGTTAGGCATCGAATTGTGACTTTTGTAAGCCGCCCTGAGTCCCCCCTAGGGGGTTGAGAAGGGCGGGGTAGAAGTGCTCGAAATAAATAAATAATAAATTTCAGACAGGCTCTATATTCCAGGACCTGATCCCAGGTTTTCTGCTTTGGCCTGGATTATGTGAGTACCCACTGCCAGATAATCTGGGATAAACAAAAAAACTTGGGATCAGAACCTGTCTGGAAGGGCCCTTAAACCGAGGCTGGATGGCCATCTGCCTGGGAGACTTTGTGCTTTTTCTGCATGGAAGGTGGTTGGACTAGATGGCCCATGGGATGTCTTTCAACTTTAAGATTCTATGACATGAAATGTTTGGAAAGCTCTGAATCAGCTAAAAAATCTGAGTTCTGTGTAAATAACTACCCAATGCAGACATGGGTTTCAGTGATGGTCCTCTGTGAAATCAGTATCTCCACGCTGGGAAAGGACATGATTCTGGCCACACCCCACCAGGCAGAGTTCTCTGAGAATCTTGTGTAGGAAAGGAAAAGATAGGTTCTTGTGGGTTTTTTCGGGCTATAGAGCCATGTTCTAGAGGCATTTCTCCTGACGTTTCGCCTGCATCTATGGCAAGCATCCTCAGAGTAGTGAGGTCTGTTGGAATTAGGACAATGGGTTTATATATCTGTGGAATGGCTGGGGTGGGGCAAGGAGCTCTTCCCTGCTGCAGTTAGGTGTGAATGTTTCGGCTGATCACCTTCATTAGCATTTGAAGGCCTGCCTGAGCCTGGGAAAATCTCTTGCTGGGAGGTGTTAATCTGTGCCTGGTTGTTTCCTCTCTGTTGTTTTGCTGTTGTAATTTTAGAGTTTTTTAATACTGGTAGCCAGATTTTGTTCATTTTCATGGTCTCTTCCTTTCTGTTGAAATTGTCCACATGCTTGTGGATTTCAATGGCTTCTCTGTGTAGTCTGACATGGTGGTTGTTGGTGTGGTCCAGCATTTCTGTGTTCTCAAATAATATGCTGTGTCCAGGCTGGTTCATCAGGTGCTCTGCTATGGCTGACTTCTCTGGTTGAAGTAGTCTGCAGTGCCTTTCATGTTCCTTGATGCGTGTCTGGGCAATGCTGCTGCGTTTGGTGGTCCCTATGTAGACTTGTCCACAGCTGCATGGTATACGGTAGAAATGCTGGACCACACCAACAACCACCATGTCAGACTACACAGAGAAGCCAAGGAAAGGAAGAGACCATGAAAATGAACAAAATCTGGCTACCAGTATTAAAAAACTGAAACATTTATTTTTATTTATTTATTTGGGGGTTCTTGTACCCCGCCCTTCTCACCCCGTAGGGGACCCAGGGCGGCTTACAACAGCAAAGGCACGCTTAGATGCCTGCCACACAAAACAATCATCACAGAAGTACAACAATTCATAGTTACCACAATTCAAGCCATTATCCCAATAAAAACAATAAAAAATCGATAAAATCAATAAAATCAATACAAACCTAATTCTTCCTCCTACCCTATCAGTGTACACTAACTCATAGATCTGTTTTTGATTCCACTTCGACAATCCTGCTGATCTTGCATATCTGATTGTCTTATTTGTCTTATTTAATTGCCTGGTTGCCCAAAGGCCTGGTTCCACAGCCATGTCTTCACTCTCCTCCTGAAGGAGAGGAGGGATGGTGATGCTCTGATTTTCCCCGGGAGTGAGTTCCACAGGTGAGGGGCCACCACTGAGAAGGCCCTGCTTCTCGTCCCCACCAGCCTCACTTGAAACATTCACACCTAACTGCAGCAGGGAAGAGCTCTTTGCCCCACCCCAGCCATTCCACAGATATATAAACCCATTTTCCTATTTCCAACAGACCTCACTACCTCTGAGGATGCTTGCCATAGATGAGGCGAAACGTCAGGAGAAATGCCTCTAGAACATTATCGTGTTAGAACAACCAGTCAAATTATATTACATTTCTAACAGAACAAAGCAAACAAGCAGATTACAAAATTTGTGAGTATGGTAGTTGATTAAATGTCCTTTGACCAGTATCTGGCCACTTGGAGTGCTTCTGGTGTTGCTGCAAGAAGGTCCTCCATTGTGCATGTGGCAGGGCTCAGGGTGCATTGCAGCAGGTGGTCAGTGGTTTGCTCTTCTCCACACTCGCATGTCGAGGATTCCACTTTGTAGCCCCATTTCTGAAGGTTGGCTCTGCATCTCGTGGTGCCAGAGCACAGTCTGTTCAGTGCCTTCCAGGTCGCCCAGTCCTCTGTGTGCCCAGGAGGGTCTTTCATTTGGTATCAGCCATTGGCTGAGGTTCTGGGTTTGAGCCTGCCACTTTTGGACTCTCGCTTGCTGAGGTGTTCCAGTGAGTGTCTCTGTAGATCTTAGAAAACTATTCCTTGATTTAAGTCATTGGCGTGCTTCCTAATGCCGCGACCCCTTAGTACAGGTCCTCATGTTGTTGTGACCCCCAACCATAATGTTATTTTCGTTGCTACTTCATAACTGTAATTTTGCTACTGTTATGAATTGTAATGTAAATATCTGATATGCAGGATGTATTTTCATTCACTGGACCAAATTTGGCACAAATACCCAATACGCCCAAATTTGAATACTGGTGGGGTTGGGGGGATTGATTTTGTCATTTGGGAGTTGTAGTTGCTGGGATTTATAGTTCACCTACAATCAAAGAGCATTCTGAATTCCACCAATGATGGAATTGAATCAAACCTGGCACACAGAATTCCCATGACCAAGAGAAAATACTGGGAAGGTCTGGTGGACATTGACCTTGAGTTTTTGGAGTTGTAGTTCACCTACATCCAGAGAACACTGTGGACTCAAGCAATGATGGATCTGGATCAAACTTGGCACAAATACGCAATATGCCCAAATGTGAACACTGGTAGAGTTTGGAGAAAATAGACCTTGCCATTTGGGAGTTGTAGTTGGGATTTATAGTCCACCCACAATGAAATAGTATTCTCAACCCCACCAACGATAGAATTGGACCAAACTTTCCACACAGAACCCCATGACCAACAGAAAATACTATGTTTTCTGATGGTCTTTGGCGACCCCTCTGACACCCCCTCGCGACCCCCACAGGGGTCCCGACCCCCAGGTTGAGAAACACTGCTCTAGAACATGGCCATATAGCCCCAAAAAAACCCACAAGAACCTAGTGATTCCAGCCATGAAAGCCTTCGACAATACAAAGGAAAAAAAAGATGTTCCCACCTCAAATGATGGGGCGTCCCTTTGTGGGAAGGAGAAAAAGAGCCTCAGACTCACCCGAAGGTTATGGCTCTCCGTTAGGAATCAAATCTCCCGCGCTTCCCCGCTCAGGGAAGGCAGACCCGGAAGCATTTGGCGTCGCTCGCGCTGCTTCCGGGGGCGGGGCTGCGTGTGGGCGGGGCTTGGGAGCGGCCTACAGAGCCCTCGGCGCCATGGGCAAGAAGCACAAGAAGCACAAGGCGGAGAAGACGGAGTGGCGCTCCACGGCCGCCCCCACCATCAGCTCCGGGGGCGGCGCCTCCTCCTCCGGCGGGCCTTACGACGGTGCGTTGGGAACCCGGAGAGAAGCCTCCCTCGGCGGCCCGCCAGCTCTTTGGGCCTCCGCTTCCCAGAATCCCCGCCCATTGAACAAGCTGGGTAGGACTTCTGGGAGTTGGAGGCCCAGACAGCCGGACAGTCCAAGGGTGAGGCTGCCTGCGCCTGAGGATAATCTGGGAGCTCCCTCCCTTTCCCTTCTTTTTAAAAAATGCTCCAGATTTACTTTTTTCATACAATTTTAGATAAAGGAGATTCCATCTGAACATGAGGAAGAACTTCCTGACTGTGAGAGCCGTTCAGCAGTGGAACTCTCTGCCTCGGAGTGTGGTGGAGGCTCCTTCTTTGGACGCTTTTAATCAGAGGCTGGATGGCCATTTGTCAGGGGTTTACTAGGTTCTTGTAGGTTTTCCGGGCTATATGGCTATGTTCTAGAGGCATTTCTCCTGACGTTTCGCCTGCATCTATGGCAAGCATCCTCAGAGGTAGTGAGGTCTGTTGGAACTAGGAAAAAGGGTTTATATATCTGTGGAATGAACAGGGTGGGACAAAGAACTCTTGTCTGTTGGAGCTAGGTGTGAATGTTTCAACTGACCACCTTGATTAGCATTTAATGGCCTGGCTGAGCCTGGGAAAATCTTTTGTTTAGAGGTGTTAAGATGTGCCTCTTTGTGGTCATGGTGTGATGATGATGATAACAACTTAATAATATAATAATAACAGTAACAATAATTGTCGAAGGCTTTCATGGCCAGAATCACTGGGTTATTGTAGGTTTTTCCGGGCTATATGGCCATGTTCTAGAGGCATTTCTCCTGACGTTTCGCCTGCATCTATGGCAAGCATCCTCAGAGGTAGTGAGGTCTGTTGGAATTAGGACAATGGGTTTAATATATCTGTGGAATGGCTGGGGTGGGGCAAGGAGCTCTTCCCTGCTGCAGTTAGGTGTGAATGTTTAGCTGATCACCTTCATTAGCATTTGAAGGCCTGCCTGAGCCTGGGAAAATCTCTTGCTGGGAGGTGTTAATCTGTGCCTGGTTGTTTCCTCTCTGTTGTTTTGCTGTTGTAATTTTAGAGTTTTTTAATACTGGTAGCCAGATTTTGTTCATTTTCATGGTCTCTTCCTTTCTGTTGAAATTGTCCACATGCTTGTGGATTTCAATGGCTTCTCTGTGTAGTCTGACATGGTGGTTGTTGGTGTGGTCCAGCATTTCTGTGTTCTCAAATAATATGCTGTGTCCAGGTTGGTTCATCAGGTGCTCTGCTATGGCTGACTTCTCTGGTTGAAGTAGTCTGCGGTGCCTTTCATGTTCCTTGATGCGTGTCTGGGCGCTGCATTTGGTGGTCCCTATGTAGACTTGTCCACAGCTGCATGGTATACGGTAGACTCCTGCAGAGGTTTTATTTTCTCGTGTCAGGGCAGCCAGTCAATTATATTACATTTCTAACAGAACAAAGCACAACAAACAGAGAAAATACAAAATGTGTGAGTTTGGTAGTTGATTAAATTTCCTTTGACCAGTATCTGGCCACTTGGAGTCCTGAACCGGTGCCTGGCCGCTGTAATGGACTGGATGAGGGCGAACAAATTGAAACTAAATCCAGACAAGACAGAGGTACTCCTGGTCAGTCGTAAGGCCAAACAGGGCATAGGGTTACAGCGTGTGCTTGACAGGGTTACACTCCCGCTGAAGGCGCAGGTTCGCAGCTTGGGAGTGATCCTGGACTCATCGCTGAGCCTGGAACCCCAGGTCTCAGCGGTGGCTGGGAGAGCTTTTGCACAATTAAAACTTGTGTGCCAGCTGCGCCCGTACCTTGGGAAGTCAGATCTGGCCACGGTGGTCCACGCTCTTGTTACATCCCGATTGGATTACTGCAACGCACTCAGAGGCGGCCCTAGGTAATTTTCAACAGTAAGCAAACAGTATTTTGGCGCCCCACCCGCCACCCCCAACCAATCACTGATATATATTTTCTGTTCGTCGTGGGAGTTCTGTGTGCCATATTTGGTTCAATTCCATCATTGGTGGAGTTCAGAATGCTCTTTGATTGTAGGTGAACTATACATCCCAGTAACTACACTTGCTGCACTTGCTCCCTTGCCTGGCCTGCTTTGGGTCCGGAGGCATGCCTGAAGACCCCAGCGTGCGCACCAAAATCACCTCTTCTCCCGACTTTCTCCTCAGCCATTGGGACCGAGAGAGAGAGAGAGCCCCTCCGGCTGGAGGTATCTCCCACCTCTGCTCCCTCCTTTGTTTTTGCGCCTACCTTCAGGAAAGGTGGGCATCTCCACCTCTCTCTCTCTCTCTCTCTCTCGGTCCCAATGGCTGAGGAGAAAGTCAGGAGAAGAGGTGACTTTTGGTGCACACGCTGGGGTCTTCAGGCACACCTCCGGACCCAAAGCGGGCCAGGTGTGGCGGCTCCGCCCCTTGGCCCACCCGTGGATTGGGGGGAGGAGAGGAGGCGGGTGGAGCGCCGGGGGATCAGGAAAGGGAGCCGGTCATGGGGAAGGGATCGAGCACGGAGAATGATTGAGCGCTGGCTCTGCTCGCGCACCCGGTGGCTGGATGGAGCAGGAACGAGAGGGGCTAGGTGAGGCTCAAGGACCCGGCCCCTTTGGGAAGAGGATTACCCAGCAGTGAGGCAGGAAAGCCGAGGGCTTTTGTGAGCTGAGGGGGCGCTCCTCAAGTGGCGGTCGAGGGGCATTTACAGAGGCGCCTCTGCACCCCTGGCAAAAAAAAAAAGTGTTCTGCGACCGCTTACTTCGCGTAATGGACGAGCCGCCCCTGCTGCAACGCTCTCTATGTGGGGTTGCCTATGAAGACTGCCCGGAAGCTCCAACTAGTCCAACGTGCAGCAGCCAGAATGCTAACACGAGCAGGGTACAGGGAGCATACTACTCCTCTGTTGCGCCAGCTCCACTGGCTGCCAATTAGCTTCCGAGCACAATTCAAAGTGCTGGTGTTAACCTATAAAGCCCTAAACGACTCCGGCCCAGTTTACCTGTCCGAACGTATTCTCCCCTATGAACCATCTAGGTTGTTAAGATCGTCTGGAGGGGCCCTGCTCTCGGTCCCACCGGCGCGTCTGGTGGGGACGAGGGACAGGGCCTTCTCGGTGGTGGCCCCTCGACTCTGGAACTCTCTCCCACTGGAGATCAGAACTGCCCCCTCCATTCTGTCGTTCAGAAAACGGGTGAAAACCTGGCTATGGGGTTTGGCTTTCAACGAGTGAATCAATATTTCTGTGATCGGATAGATGACGATGAATGATGGACAACGAATTCACTATGACGACTGACCATTGTTATTATGTGATTGCATTTTGCTGTTATAACGTTTTAATTGAATATGTTATATGATGTTTTTAATGATTGTTTTGTGATTTTATTGTTGGAAACCGGCCCGAGTCCCCCGATAGAGGGGAGAAGACCGGTATACAAAATTGCTAAATAAATAAATAAATATCTGGCCACTTGGAGTGCTTCTGGTGTTGCTGCAAGACGGTCTCCCATTGTGCATGTGGCTGGGCTCAGGGTTCATTCATGGTCAGTGGTTTGCTCTTCTCCACACTCGCATGTCGTGGATTCCACTTTGCGGCCCCATTTCTGAAGGTTGGCTCTGCATCTCGTGGTGCCAGAGCGCAGTCTGTTCAGCGCCTTCCAAGTCGCCCAGTCCTCTGTGTGCCCAGGGGGAGTCTCTCATTTGGTATCAGCCATTGGTTGAGGTTCTGGGTTTGAGCCTGCCACTTTTGGACTCTCACTTGCTGAGGTGTTCCAGCAAGTGTCTCTGTAGATCTTAGAAAACTATTTCTTGATTTAAGTCGTTGACGTGCTGGCTGATACCCAAACAAGGGATGAGCTGGAGATGTCTCTGCCTTGGTCCTTTCACTATTGGCTGCTACTTCCCGGCGGATGTCAGGTGGTGCAATACCGGCTAAGCAGTGTAATTTCTCCAGTGGTGTAGGGCGCAGACACCCCGTGATAATGCGGCATGTCTCATTCAGAGCCACACCCACTGTTTTAGTGTGGTGAGATGTGTTCCACACTGGGCATGCATACTCAGCAGCAGAGTAGCACAGCGCAAGGGCAGATGTCTTCACTGTATCTGGTTGTGATCCCCAGGTTGTGCCAGTCAGCTTTCGTATGATATTGTTTCTAGCACCCACTTTTTGCTTGATGTTCAGGCAGTGCTTCTTGTAGGTAAGAGCACGGTCCAGAGTGACTCCCAGGTATTTGGGTGTGCTGCAATGCTCCAGTGGGATTCCTTCCCAGGTGATCTTCAGAGCTCGGGATGCTTCTCTGTTCTTGAGATGAAAGGCACATGTCTGTGTTTTAGATGGGTTGGGGATCAGCTGGTTTTCCCTGTAATAGGCAGTAAGAGCACCTAGAGCTTCGGAGAGCTTCTGTTCAACCATCTCAAAGCTCCCTGCTTGAGCAGTAATGGCACGATCATCAGCATAGATGAAACTCTCGGTCCCTTCTGGCAGTGGCTGGTCATTTGTGTAGATGTTGAACATGGATGGAGCAAGCACGCTCCCCTGAGGCAGGCCGTTCTTCTGTTTCCGCCATCTGCTTCTCTGGCCCTGGAACTCAACAAAAAAGCTCCTGTTTTGTAGCAGGTTTCCTATGAGGCGGAGTGAGGTGGTCGTCCTTTGTGATATTATACATTTTTCTCAGGAGGAGGCGGTGGTTCACAGTATCATAGGCTGCTGACAGGTCTATGAAGACAGCTCCTGTGATCTGCTGCCTTTCAAAGCCATCTTCTATGTGCTGAGTCAGGTTCAACACTTGCGATGTGCAGCTTTTTTTCTTTTCTGAAGCCAGCTTGCTGTGGGATCAGACATGGGTCTATTTTTTTTCATAATTCTATGCAAAATAAATCTCTCCAGAACTTTGTAGAGGTGGCACAACAGGGAGATTGGTCTGTAGCTTTTTGGGTCATTACGGTCTTTGCCTGGCTTCAAGATGGCGATGACTCTTGCTTTCCTCCAGATTTTGGGGATCTGACAGGATGTCGTGCAGTTGTTCATCAGCTCCAGCAGCCAGCACCTTGCTTTTGGACCAAAGTTCTTGATTTGTTCCATCCGTAGATCATCTGTCAGGGGTGCTTTGAATGCAATATTCCTGCTTCTTGGCAGGGGGTTGGACTGGATGGCCCATGAGGTCTCTTCCAACTCTATGATTCTAAATGTAGTCAGAGTAATTGAAGCATTGCTTTAAAATCAACCAGTCTACAAATGGGATTGTTATTTATTTATTTATTTATTTATCTATATATATAAAAATGCTCTGTGCAGAATGAGTACCTTAAAAACAAAAGGACCAACGAACGAAATCACACCAAATTTGGCAACAAAACATCTCACAACACAAGGAGTGACGATCACTCAAAAATTATGATTTTGTCATTTGGGAGTTGTAGTTGCTGGGATTTATAGTTCACCTACAATCAAAGAGCATTCTTAACTCCACCAATGATGGAATTGAACCAAACTTGGCACACAGGACTCCCCTGACCAACAGAAAACACTAGAAGGGTTTGGTGGGCATTGACCTTGAGTTTTGGAGTTGTGGTTCACCTACATCTAGAGCATTCCAGACCTCACCAACGATGGAATTGGGCCAAACATCTCACACAGAACCTCCATGACCAACAGAAAATATTGTGTTTTCTGGTGGTCTTTCGTGTGTCCCTCCCCCGGTGTCTTGACTTCCCAGGTTGAGAAATGCAGCCTTAAAGCCATCCAATCCAACTCCCTTCACCAGGACAAGAAAACATAATCAAAGCTCTCCTGACAAAGGGCCGTCCAGCCATTCACACACACACATATATGTATATGACAGCTGCAGTATCAAAGATTTGAAAGGGACCCCTAAAGCATGACAATGATATGTTGCATGTTCCAGAGTAGGCAAACCAGACAATCTCTACATCAACACTGACAAAGAAACAGCAAGAAATACTGTTTACCCACAAGCATAAAGAAATTACATGTATTAGAAGCCAACACTTTCTCATTACTTTATTTTCCAGATCACCAGACTGGACCACAGCAACGCGTGGCAGGGGAAGGCTAGTTTCTTATACTTGTACCCTGCCCTTCTCACCCCCCGAGGTGGGACTCAGGGCGGCCTCACAGCAAGCACCATTCGGTGCCATCATAATGATTTATTTAATTATATCAGGAGCAACCAGACAGTTGTATTATATTTTTAACAAAACAAACAAACAGATAAAACACAAAGTTTGCAAACTTGGTAGTTGATTAAATGTCCAATGTTGTGCTGTACCAGCATGCCTTCAGTAAACAATGCAATTTGTGAACACAAACACAGAAAAGTGGGAAATAAATGAGCCTGCTTTACCAGCTCATCTTATTGTGTTAAAAAAGTACAGATCTATACGTTTAGGCACCAAAATGAAAAACATTAAAAGTGGAGGAAATGAAAGAAACAAAACTCATTCAAGAAGGTGCTTCAAGTGATTGTTTTTCTTTACTTACTTGACCTGGTTGTTTCATTTCACATATTGTGTATTGTTTATTTTAAATAAAATGTTTGTGGAAGCATATTGACTAATTTCTTGGTGCAGGAACTGATCCCTGTGCGTTCTATGTTATTTATGCCTCTGTTAAAGGCATAAAATGCAGGAACATACTGATTGGTTACTTCATGTAGACCTGTACATAGTTTCTAGACCAGTTGAATTACCCTGATGGTAGGTTTTTGAGGGTTTTTTGGGACCAGTCTCTAAACTTCGAGAATTTCTGTAAAACAAGCGCAGTGTTTTTCTGCAAGACTAGTTCTTCTATAAGCTTAATAAATGTCCTTTTAATGGTGTTTAACAGGTACCGCTCCGGCGGGAAGGTAACCGCTCCATGCAGTCATGCCAGCCACATGACCTTGGAGGTGTCTACGGACAACGCTGGCTCTTCAGCTTAGAAATGGAGATGAGCACCACACCCCAGAGTCAGACATGACTGGACTTAACGTCAGGGGACTACCTTTACCTTTACCTAACACCAGTTTAACTAGAATAGACATGATGTTGACTGATATTAATTTGCTGAATTTCATTGGATTCCTTTTTTAAAGGTGGAATTATAGTGATACTCATAGGTATAGAGATTTTTTGTCATGTCAGGAGTGACTTGAGAAACTGCAAGTCACTTCCTGTGTGAGAGAAGTGGTCGTCTGCAAGGACGTTGCCCAGGGGACGCCCGAATGTTTGGATGTTTTATCATCCTTGTGGGAGGCTTTTCTCATGTCCCCTCATAGGAACTGATAGAGAGAGCTCATTTGCGCTCTCTCTGGATTCGTATCTTCAACCTGCCGGCACAGGGGTTTAACCCACTGTGCCACTGGGGGCTTGTAGGTATAGAGATACCTATGTGTATCACTATAATTCCACATTTGTATTACTACATCAAGTTCCCGTTTGCATTCTTTAAGAACTCTTGGGTAGATTAGTAATAATAATAATAATAATAATAATAACAATCTTTATTTATATACCGCTCTATCTCCCCAAGGGGAATCAGAGTGGTTCCCAGGTAACATCACAAAACATACAAAGTAAAAGACAACATAACTATAAGAGTAACAAAACAAAATATAAGCATAAAAATTGTCGCCATAACACACGTATATTAAAAGTAATCCTGCCTGTTCAAGGCAATTAAAAAATTTAAAAGGCCAGGCCAAGATTTGTGCAAGCCCAAAAATTCTAGGGGGCCCGGGTAGATACCATTTGCACTTTAAGATATGTTAATTTTTAGGTTGTTGGTATGGCCAAGAACTATATTTTTGCCACCCTTCTTTGTCTCACTTTTTTTTTACTTATTTCTGAAAGGATCAACCTGAGCACAAATATTGTTTCATACTTTTATGCAACAAAGAGAGGTATACATAATTCCTTTGCCTTCAATAGAGTGTGTGCTATATGTGCTTTTTATACTGTTTGCTTCTGATTAGATTATGTCGATAAACCCTTAGAGAAGCCATTGAAGCTGGTGTTGAAAGTTGGCGGTAGTGAAGTGACAGAGCTTTCCGGATCTGGACATGATTCCAGTTATTATGATGACCGATCAGACCATGAACGAGAGCGCCATAAGGAGAAAAAGAAGAAGAAGAAGAAAAAATATGACAAAGAGAAAGATAAGCATTTGGATGAGGAGGAGAGGCGAAAGAGAAAGGTAAACAGTCATGTCACAGTGGCTTAGCTTATTTGAAGTAGTCTGTCAAATCTTTAGAAAGTTATTTTATGAGACTTATTTGACTTGTATTAATATTTCAAAAAGTGCATTTTGCGTGGCTATTCCCAAACTAGGTTCTTGTGGGTTTTTTCGGGCTATAGAGCCATGTTCTAGAGGCATTTCTCCTGACGTTTCGCCTGCATCTATGGCAAGCATCCTCAGAGGTGTGAGGTCTGTTGGAAGTAGGAAAAATGGGTTTATATATCTGTGGAATGGCTGGGGTGGGGCAAGGAGCTCTTCCCTGCTGCAGTTAGGTGTGAATGTTTAGCTGATCACCTTCATTAGCATTTGAAGGCCTGCCTGAGTCTGGGAAAATCTGTTGCTGGGAGGTGTTAATCTGTGCCTGGTTTTTTCCTCTCTGTTGTTTAGCTGTTATAATTTTTTATTATTATTATTATTATTATTAGTTTGCTCCAGGCACTGCCAGGCCATCAAATGCTAATCAAGGTGATCAGTTGAAACATTCACACCTATCTCCAGCAGACAAGAGTCCTTTGTCTCACCCTGGTCATTCCACAGATATATAAACCCTTTTTCCTAGTTCCACCAGACCTCACTACCTCTGAGGATGCTTGCCATAGATGCAGGTGAAACGTCAGGAGAAATGCCTCGAACATGGCCATATAGCCCGAAAAAACCCACAAGAACCTAGTGATTCCAGCCATGAAAGCCTTCGACAATACATATTCCCAAACTTGTTTCAACTTCCATATATCTTACAAACAACCTGAAATTGAAGCAATTGCATATCATAATTGCATTCGATTTTAGCCATTCTTGTAAGCCGCTCCAAGCCCCAGGGGAATGACGGCATATAAGTTCAAATAATAAATAAATAAATAATACCGTATTTCTTTGCTTCCGACACACCATGGATTGTGGAAAAAAAATTGATTCTAAGATGCACCCTGTTTTTAGAAATGTTTATATAGTGGGAAGGGTGCATCACATAATACAAGAAATACAGTATCTTAAGAGCTCAGAATATAGATTAAAGATGGTCTGTAGTCTTTCATGATCAGTTTAAGTCTTTTTGGACAAATTAAATAGGCATTTCTAATTAATCAAAAGATAAATTGTATCTTAAAAAATGGGAATTACTGCTTTTTTCTTTGGAACTCCTTGCCTGGAGAGATCAGGAAAGCCCCTTCACTAGAAATGTTCAAAAAGAACCTTAAAACTTGGCTCTTCCACTGCACCTTTGGTGAGTAGGTGCACACCATGACATTTTGCACCCTTCAACGTTCTTTTTGCTACTGGAGCTCGCGCCCTCTAAATGGGAAGTTTAGCATCACAACTCTATGTGTTTTTTTGAGTTCCCCGTAAATGTCCTGCTCCTATTTTTATGTCATTACAGCCTTTTAATTGTTTTATCCCGTATATGTGGCCCACCCATTGTTATTGTGATTGTGTTTAGAATGTTATTTTATGACTGCCTTCTTTTTTAAAATGTATTTTGATGATATTGTTGTGTTTTTGTTTATGCTTTGATTTTATTGCTGTAATACGTAATCTGGGTTTGGCCCCATGTAAGCCGCTCCGAGTCCCCACTGGGGAGATGGTGGTGGGGTATAAATAAAGTTTATTATTATTATTATTTCTTCAAGTCTATTTAGTAATGGGAAGTTTTAAACATTTTGGATAAATGTGATTAAGATTTCCTAAACAAAATAGTAATTCCAATATGTATTCTGTATATTAGTAGAGCTGGTCTGTGGCATGGGCATGATTTCAATTTTCTTAGACATCTGTTCCATTATCTGGACAGTAGTGCCACTATCTTCCTGTGGCCAATTCCATCATGTAAAAGTGTACATTCTTCTGCCACTTGCTTGGCCTTTATGGAAAATATCTTTGCTAAGTGGTGGAGCTGATTACTGGTGAGATTGAAAAATAGTTATTGCGGTTCTGCCCTTATAATAAATGTATTTTCCTCAGGAAACTTGTTATTTTTGTGGGTCTGCAAGGCAACTCTTACAGTGTTTGGGACTGTGTGTTCATTTTTGATTTGTTAGGGTTTTTTATAAGATATATTCTGAAGAGGTTTGCCCTTGCCTTAGGCTGAGAGCATGTAGTTTGTCCATAGCTATTCAGTGATTTTCCACAGCTGAACTTAGTTTCAAAACCTGGTCTCCCAGAGTCCTGATCCAACACCCAAATTACTACAATAAACTGGAATGTGCAGTTGATTATGCACATTTATTTCAAATGTTATAATCTGTAACAGCCCCCAAAACCCATAGTTCCCTAGTCAGTATGTGCAGCAAAGTGCCATTTCCTCCTATTTTTTTAAATAAAAATTTAAATTCAACGCCAATCTGGTGTTAGAGCAAGACGGGAGTGGGGCGGGGGGAGGCTAAGCGTTGGCACAGGGGAAGGCCATGTGGGGCGGAGAGGCCGGGAAGCATTTGAAGTGTGGAGGGAGAGAGTTTCACACACAGGTGTGTGGGGGTCAAAGGAGAGCCCTGCACATCCGTGTGTGTCTGAAAGATGCTCCTCTTCGTGGAAGGACACAGTGACCCGCCATGTCCTCCCACAAAGAGGAGACTTGACACACATCTGTGTGAGGCTCTTGGGAGAGCCCTGCACAGCCGTGTGTGTCTGCAAGACGTTCCTCTTTGCGGGACAACATGGCAGCCCGTCATGTCCTGCCTCAAAGAGGTTTTACACATGGAAGGGCTGGCTCCGGAGGCAAGGGGCCATGTCCGGCCCACAGGTCTGGGTTTGCCCATGCCTGCTCTATACCAACAACAGTGAAGACTAGTTTGCCTTATGAACTACAAGACATGTTGGAGGTTCACATTTGGTCTCCTCTTTTCTTTGAATGTTTTTGAAACTCAGCCTGAAAAGGGGAATAATTGAAACGCATGCAACTCAGTAGTCACGCAGTAGCCATATTTGTGCCCTATTATTGAAAAAGTTACAATATACAATTGAAAATGTATGGGGTAAATGGGGTATTATATGTTTATGAAATGTCTTTTCTGATTCATATGTGTACTTTGACTTACTTTTTTTTCTCTCTTTTTGTATTTGGAGTTTACATCTCTTATTGACAAATATGTCTTCCTCAGTGTTTTATGTCACTACAATTCATAATAATTTTAATGAAACTTTCTCAACTGCATTTTCACATTTTTGCTTTTTAACATCAGGAGGAGAAGAAACGGAAAAGGGAGAAGGAGCAATGCGACACTGAAGGTGAACTGGATGACTTTGATCCTGGAAAGAAAGTAGAGGTTGAACCACCCTTGGACCGTCCTGTCAGGGCCTGTAGAACTCAGCCTGGTGAGTAGTCAAGATTATATGAGTGTACAAGGTCAGTCAGTAGTGTATTTGATATCCAGTACCGGAAATATTTTTGAATTCTTCATGTGTTTCATGGTCCCCGTTGTTTCTTCAGGAGACCACTACTTCAGATAGACATTGCTTGAGTGTGTGCACGCATTCATGAGCGCATGCACCTTCATTTCATCTGTTGATTTATGGTGTCCCCATCTATTCTAAAGGGTTTTCTCAGGCAATAAACGCTCAGAGATAATTTTGCCATTTCCTTCCTCTGAAATATAGCCTACAGCATCTGATCAGTTGTCTCAAAAGAACTGACCTTATTTATCTTTCAAGATCAGACAGTATCTGGTATTTTAATGCAATTAGATCCCACATATTGACTTTAACACATATTAATCTTATATTAGTTTTAATGTCTTCCTTTCATTTTCATAAGGGCCAACTGTAAAAAATTAAAATGTGTTATATTCCTATTTGCAAAAAACATGAACAATGATGACTGAATGCTTTATAGTTTTTCAGTTTTGTTATGTAAAGGACAGGCACTCAATGAAGCGATCATTTGCCTTTTTTATGTTGTATGTAGCAGAAAATGAAAGTACACCTATCCAACAATTATTGGAACATTTCCTTCGCCAGTTACAAAGGTAAGTCTAAACATCATACTTGGAAAGCACCTACAAGAATGATTTAAAAAGTTGAAAGTACAGTTTAAGAATTTAATGTTATAGCATTCTTAATTGTTGAACATTTTTAGAGTTATATCTGCTGAAAAAGATGCTGATTTTAGTAACCTATCTGTTAATATAAGCAGTGGTGTATACATATGCTTTTGGCCCACATTGTACTCAGTGTGTCATATTCAGTATTCAGAATTTGATAAATGTCACACCTATATATCTGAGAACTTGAATTAAATCATTAATTGATACTTATTCTCTTGTATTTCTGCTTTAACCTAGCAATTAAATATAATTACTTGCTGATGCACCAAATATTGGAATGAAGCCTGGAACTGCCAGTATTAATTTTGGACATTAATTGCTAATTACTACTCTGAAATATACAAATTGTTTTGGGTACCCAAAAGCATCAATTTTGCATTGCTACATGACTGTAGCAATGAACAAAATGTTGAACAATCATATATTTTTTGACAGAGCGGGCCTTCTCAGTGGCTGCCCCTTAACTCTGGAACTCCTTGCTGAGGGTAGCCTGTTGTCCATTTGTCGGCAGACTAAAACCTTATTCAGATAGACTTTTAAGATCAAGTCAAGGAGTGCTTTGGTTTTTAGCTCTGAATATGTTTTTATGGATTTTAACTGAATTTGATGTTTAATTATGTTTTAATGTACGTATATTTGTAGATTTTAAATTGTATTGAAATGTTTTTAATATAAACTGCTTTGAGTTTCTTGTAGAGAGTAAAAGTGAGGTATAATAATAATCCATATAAATAAAAATGTAATGTTCGTTTGTGGGATTAACATAACTCAAAAACCACTGGACGAATTGACACCAAATTTGGACCTATCAGGCCAATGAGTGACTATCACTCATAAAAACACTGAAAAACACTGCAGAAGGGACTTCAAAAGCCAAAACAAAAAGATGGTACAGTGCATGCACAAAAACAACTCCCCCGGCAAACAAAACACACAATAACATATCCACACTCTCTTCCGAACTACAGCTCCCAGCATCCCCTAGACCAGGCCCTTTAGGAGAGAAGGATAATCCAAATGCACTACTTCTAAGATGCAAGCTTTCTTCTCCTTGGATCTCTTTGAGAGCATCCCAATTCCTGCATATTTCCAATTTCCTATTTCTGGACTGAGACTCCCAGCAATCCTCTAGATAGATTACATAGAGGTAGGTAGGTAGGTAGGTAGGTAGGTAGGTTGATCAGGAGGACTGCTGGGAGTTGCAGTCCAAGAATAAGTAGAGAAGGAAGAACGGGGAGAAAGAAAAAAGGGGATGGAAGAGAAAGAGGGAGGGAAGGTTGGCCACAGCAACGCGTAGTGGGTACAGATGATGATGATAATGATGATGATAATAATAATAATAATGTTTTTTATTCATTTTGAAAGTAGAAGGAGCAAAATGATAGCAAATAGCTTGTGTTCCCATCTTTTATACATAGAAGTTTAATAAACAAGGATCCCTGACTTAGACTGATGTGGAAATGTGGCAGATTTATTTACTACGTCAAGATCTAATATCAGTTCTTCCCCATTCTCTGTCAGTTAATGTTCTTTAATTGATATGCACAGCTTTATAATAATTAAAATGGCAGGTTAACCCAGAACATGGGGCCCGGATCGGCTCCATAATGGGCAGACGGAGCTGATCCAAAATAATGCAGGAAAAGGTCACCTTAACGCAGCCTTGCCCCATGTTAACCAAAGTTCCAGAATGGCAAAGTACTGACTGCAATTGTCTTCATTGCCATCCCATTTGGGGGGTGGGGACTAGGGCAACCCAGGGACATTGAGTGGCACATACCATTCCCTCTCATCCTCACTGTGATGGTGTTCTCTGGCTGTGACATGGGATTCTTTTCAGACGTTGTGGCAGGAAAATTGGGAAAGGGATGGGGGAGAGAAGAAGATGATTCCTCCTCTCCATCCTCACCCCAACCAACCTCCCTGCAAGTGATGGTCAATAGACAGGACCCATGTTGCATCCAGAGATCTTTGCAACATAGGGGATAGCAGTCTTGTGACACCAAACCACATTTGGTTCTGCTGGGCATTCAGGACCCCTGCCCCTAGAGCAGTTGAGGGCATGCCTATTTGACCCATTCCGAGGTTGATCCACTGTACACCACTCCTGATCTGCCCCAGTATAATAGGTCAGTGTAGATCCATCATAGGAGTACTTTTCCCAGCTTTGATTTGTATGGAAACTATAGCCATATAATATTACAATATAATGGTCTAGTGCAGGGGTCCCCAAACTTTTTGAACAGAGGGCCGGGTCACAGTCCCGCAAACTGTTGGAGGGCCGGATTATAATTTGAAAAAAAAAAACATGAATGAATTCCTATGCACTCTGCACATATATTATTTGCAGTGCAACCCCCCTCCCCATCAAAAAACAAATATCACCTTTCATATCTATATAAATAAAAATGTAATGTTTGTCTGTGGGATTAACAGAACTCAAAAACCACTGGACGAATTGACACCAAATTTGGACACAAGACACCTAACAAACCAATGGATGTCCTTCACTCAAAAAAATTTGATTTTGTCATTTGAGAGTTGTAGTTGCTGGGATTTATAGTTCACCTACAATCAAAGAGCATTTTGAACCCCACCAACGATGGAATTGAACCAAACTTGGCAGACATTTCTCCCATGACCAACTGAAAATACTGGAAGGGTTTGGTGGGCAGTGTCCTTTCATTTTGGAGTTGTAGTTCACCTACATTCAGAGATCATTGTGGACTCAAACAATGATGGATTGGGATCAAACTTGGCACAAATACTCAATATGCCCAAATTTGAACACTGGTGGAGTTCAGGGAAAATAGACCTTGACATTTGGGAGTTGTAGTTGCTGGGATTTATAGTTCACCTACAATCAAAGAGCATTCTGAACTCCACCAAAGATGGAATTGAACCAAACTTGGCACACAGTTCTCCCATGACCAACAGAAAATACTGGAAGGGTTTGGTGGCAGTGTCCTTTGGTTTTGTAGTTCAGCTGCCTCCATAAATCACTGTGGACTCAATGATAGATCTGGACCAAACTTGGCACTGATACTCAAAATGTCCAAATGTGAACACTGGTGGCGTTTGGGGGTTGTATTTGCTGGGATTTATAGTTCAATCAAAGAGCATTCTGAACTCCACCAATGATGGAATCGAACCAGTCTTGGTACACAGAACTCCCATGAACAACAGAAAATACTGGGTTTAGTGGGCATTGACCTTGAGTTTTGGAGTTGTAGTTCACCTGCCTTCACCACACCGGCGTTCCCTGGCCACGCCCACCCAGCGCCACTCCGTCAATTGCGGACACCCTCTGCTCCGGCTGCTCTGCTCTGCAGAGGACCCACCTGGGAGGCTTCTCCCTCCCACACAGGCAGAGCTGATATTGTACTATACTAATAATATAATATATTGTATGAAAATATATCTTGTAAGCCGCTCTGAGTCCCCATTGGGATGAGAAGGGCGGCATATAAATGCCGTAAATAAATAAATAAATATCAAAATAGTAGTAATAATAATGATAATAAATGTTTTCTCGTTTTTAGGAAAGATCCTCATGGATTTTTTGCTTTTCCGGTCACGGACGCCATTGCTCCTGGATATTCCATGATAATAAAACATCCTATGGATTTTGGCACGATGAAGGATAAAATTGCAGCCAATGAGTATAAATCAGTAACAGAATTCAAGGTGAATGAACAGAGATTTAGTAACTATTTAGAAGTCCATAAGTCAATGGCTCACTTATATATTCAACATGATGGCATTCACTATGAAACTGCCTCTTTGTGCATTCTGTAAAAGTAAGTAATAATCCTGTTGCCACAGCCTAAGCATTTAGACTATTTAATATGTCACCATTTCTTGTTTTTATATTGTATCAGTGATGGAATGAGTTCAGTTTAGTAGAGTTTACAATCTATAGAAATGCTGTAGTGCTGTAGACATGATTTACTTCTGATACGACATATTTTGGTCCATTTTGTACATAGTGGTAGCAATATGATGTAATAATGATGTAATGCATGATTTGAATACACTTTCATGAGAAATAATATGTCTGTCAAAATTAGCATGTAGCATGCTAGTTTTCAGCTTGCATTCACAAGTGGATTAGTTGAGAAACAAGTTTACAACTTTTCTCTATTTACTAACCGCGAGGACTAAACCTTTTGAAACAGGATAACCTGCCATTTCCTTAAGTTAAACTACAAATCATTCTGCGGTGTTAAGCATAAATGACTGTAATTTGAAGGTCTGAAATCAGGACATAACAATTTGAATTAGGTTTTTTCTAGCTTCCATCTTGTGGTTTAAGTGACATAGTGGGACAAAAGTCTTCCCAAGTCATCTAAGAAATTATTGCTCCATGAAGTCATGCCGGCTACATGACCTTGGAGGCATCTACAGACAATTCTGGCTTTTCGGCTTAGAAATGGAGATGAACACCACCCCCCAGAGTCAGACACAACTACATTTAATGTCAAGGGGAAACCTTTACCTTTATATATCATTTTAACACATGATTGAATTTGTTGTGGCATGAATTTGAAACATGAATGTTTATTGTTTATGTTTTCCAGGCAGATTTTAAATTGATGTGTGACAACGCAATGACATACAACAGACCAGATACGGTGTACTACAAGTTGGCCAAAAAGATCCTCCATACAGGGTTTAAGATGATGAGCAAAGTAAGGCAACTATGCAAGAGAACATGATGAGACGTAAATGTACTTTAGACTATTGTGAAGCATTATTTCATCCATCTGTCTTTAGTTATTATAGTATTCATTAGAGCGGACATATTCAAGGGCATTTATATCCTGTACTTCAGAAAGGAATTCATTTCAAGAAGAAATAGATCCTCAAATAATTGCATATAGATTTATGCAATTAAAGCACAATTGCAAAATATTTTGTCTTTGTGCAGTGTTAACATTTATTGGTGAGGTTAGAACATAGAAACTATTTATTTATTTATTTATCGTGTCAGGAGCGAACCAAACCAGTTGTATTGCATTAAAAAACAGACAAACAAACAAAACACAAAATTTGTATTCTTGACCAATAGCTGGCCATCCAGAGTGCCTCTGGTGTTGCTGCAAGAAGGTCCTCCATTGTGCATGTGGCAGGGCTCAGGTTGCATTACAGTAGGTGGTCTGTTGTTTCCTCTTCTCCACACTCGCATGTCGTGTATTCCACTTTGTAGCCCCATTTCTTAAGGTTGGCTCTGCATCTCGTGGTGCCAGAGTGCAGTCTGTTCAGTGCCTTCCAAGTCGCCCAGTTTTCTGTGTGACCGGGGGGGGGGGGGTCTCTCATTTGGTATCAGCTATTGATTGAGGTTCTGGGTTTGAGCCTGCTACTTTTGGACTCTCGCTTGCTGAGGTGTTCCAGCGAGTGTCTCTGTAGATCTTAGAAAACTATTTCTTGATTTAAGTCGTTGACGTGCTGGTTTAATGCAATCAATGCAGTGTAGAACCAGCCAGAAATATAATGAAAATTTAAACTTTGAATTGGGAAACTTTTCCCTATTATTATTTAACTTTCTTAAGTGGTTTTATAAATGAATATGTGTAAATGGTTATATTTAAAGTAAATTCTGAAACTTTCGTGAGATACTACTGTATTTCTTCAATTGTACTACCACTACCAACAAAACTGCATGACACACCTGCCATTCTAAGATGCACACTATTTTTAGACATCTATATAAATAAAAATGTAATGTTTGTTTGTGGGATTAACATAACTCAAAAACCACTGGGAAAAATTGACACCAAATTTGGACACAATACACCTATCAGGCTAACGAGTGACCATCACTCAAAAAATTGATTTTTGTCATTCGGGAGTTGTAGTTGCTGGGATTTATAGTTCACCTCCAATCAACGAGCATTCTGAACTCCACCAATGATGGAATTGAACCAAACGTGGCACACAAAACTCCCATGACTAACAGAAAACACTAGAAGGGTTTGATGAGCATTGACCTTGAGTTTGGGAGTTGTAGTTCACCTACATCCAGAGAGCACTGTGGACTCAAACAATGATGGATCTGGACAAACCTTGGCGTGAATATTCCATATACCCAAATATGCACACAAATGGAGTTTGGGGGAAAATACACCTTGACATTTGGGAGTTGTCGTTACTGGGATTTATAGTTCACCTACAATCAAAGAGCATTCTGAACCCCACCAATGACAGAATTGGCCAAACTTCCCACACAGAACCCTCATGATCAACAGAAAATACTTAAGGCCATCCAGTCCAACTCCCTTCACCAGGGCAAGAAAATATAATCAGAGCCCTCCTGACAAAGAGCCATCCAGTCATAAATATAGATAGATAGATATGATTCACACACACATTTATTTATTTATTTATTTATTTACAGCTTTTATATTCCGCCCTTCTCACCCCGCAGGGGACTCAGGGCGGATTACAGTGTACACATATATGGCAAACATTCAATGCCAATTTTGACATACAACATATACAGGCATAGACAGAGGCTATTTAACTTTTTCCTGGCCGCCAGGGGAGCTGTCACTTTCATCGTCCATCTGCAACACTGATGAAGTACTTCCGCATTCCCCGCATGCTTTTGCTGAAGTCTTTTATGGCCTCATAAATCAGTTAATTTAGCCTCCCCACACTTTAAGGTGGTACCTTGACAGATGCAACTGTCTTTCGGGTTGCAAAGGTCGATAACGGGCTATACACAGAGATATAGTATCATAGATTTGAAAGGGACCCCTAAAGAAGGACTATGATATGTTGCATATTTCAGAGTAGGCAAACCAGACACTCCACATCAACACTGACAACGAAACAACATGAAATACTGTTTACCCACAAGCATCAAGAAATTACATATATTAGAAACCAACATTTTCTCATTACTTTATTTTCCAGGTCACCAGACTGGGCCACAGCAACATGTGGCAGGGGATGGCTAGTGCTTATATAAGAAAAAAAGTGTGTCCTAGAATTGAAGAAATGTGGTATATGTATTTGTTGTCATCACTTTATAAAGAGTGATGTATAGAAACAATTTTACCTTAGCTTTCAAAAATGGTATGCTCAAATGTTTTGTGCGTTTATGTAATATAATATAAGACTCCTCATAATTCTTCTTTGAGCAGAACACAATCCCTCTGTTCCTCAGCATCACACCTAACATTTTATTTAAAAAGGCAAAAGAAATTATAATGGAAATAATAACATAAAAAGGGAACAATTCAGGTAGAAGATGGATTACAAGATCATTGTTTAATACTATGAAACTATAAAAGCATTTTTAAAAACAGAGCGGATTTATATAATGATCTGTTGCTGTATATGGCGAATGTGAAGACTGTGGTAAGTTCCACTTTCAGGTAGGTGTCTCTTTGTATGTCTAGGTTTTCTTTCCTAGGTAGGATGCAGGTATTCTGGTGTCATGCTGCCATGACTGAATCATGTTACATCATCATGAAGATGTAGCTCTTAGGCGAAAAGCCATGGCCATTCCCATCCCATCCCATCATCATAGCACCTTGGCTATGAGGGAAAGGTGTAAAGTCCCTGCTGCTCTGTCCTTTCTAATTCTAGGAACGGCTGTTAGCTTTGAAGCGCAGCATGTCGTTTATGCAGGACATGGATTTTTCTCAGCAGGCAGCTCTTTTGGGCGACGAAGATCCAGCTGTTGAGGAACCTGTGCCTGAAGTTGTTCCTGTGAATGTTGAAACAACCAAGAAATCCAAAAAGCCAAGTAAAGAAGTTATTAGGTAAAATTAGATTAAATACTTTGCTCTATTATTATTATTATTATTATTATTATTATTATTTCAGTTACTTCTACCCCGCCCTTCTCACCCCCGAGGGGGGACTCAGGGCGGCTTACAAAAGAAGGCACAATTCGATGCCTATGTCAAATATACATACATACATACATAAAAGCAACAGTTAACAGGTTAAAAATATCAGTACATAACACAATAGTAAACAATCTCATGCTCAGTGTTCAGAGTTCCATAAATCCATTCTGTTCCTGCCCATCATCAAGGTCTTTTCTTTAGCTGCCAGAATGTCCAAAAGCCTGGTCCCACATCCAGGTCTTCAATTTTTTTCTGAATGAAAAAAAGGGAAGTCGCTGATCTAATCTTCCCGGGGAGTGAGTTCCACAGGTGAGCGGCCACCACCGAGAAGGCCCTACTCCTTGTCTCCGCCAGCCTCACTTGTGATAGAGGCAGGGTCGAGAGCAGGGCCTCCCCAGAAGATCTTCAACTCCGAGGTGGGACATAGAGGGAGATCCGTTCGGACAGATACACTGGGCCGGAACCTTTAACTTCTTTAACTTCTTCTCAACTTTAGGAACTAGTTAAAGCAGGAATCCTCAAACTTTTAAGCATGGTCCCTCAGACTGTTGGAAAGAAACAAGAACAAATCCCTGTGCACACTGCACATACCTTATTTGTAGTGCAAAAACATGAAAGAACAATACAATATTTAAAATAAACAGTTTTAACCAACAGAAACTTACCAGTATATCAATGGGAAGTGTGAGCCTCCTATTAGTCAAGTTAATTAGGATCGTTGTTGTTGTTGTTGTTGTTGTTGTTGTTGTGTGCCTTCAAGTTGTTTCAAAGTTTGGGGCAAAGCGGGGGCAAGTAAATTACCTTGGAGGGTTTGGGGACCCCTGATTTAGAGCATCGTTGTTGTTTTTCAGGGAATCCATGCAGCATACACTTACTTGCTAAGGAGCTTTTATAACTTCAAGCAGAATTCCTTTGTATTCCAGAATGTTTGGAGCATCTTCTAAGGAGTACAGGCAGTTTAAGTGGATGTTAGATAGGCACGCTGTTCAGTAGGAGTGAGCCCAAAGTACAAGTTGAAAAACATTCAGCGTCACTGCTGTTTTAACAAAATATTCAGTAATGCTGCTATTTGAAACAAAAGTTCTTAGATTTCAATATAGAATATCATTTTAAAGAAATTATTCAGATTTGACTGTTTTGTTTATGATCATGTCTTTTTCCCCCCAATTTTTAACTATGAAGCAAAAATTATATGTTTTGATTTCTTTTTTCTTTGTAAGGATACAGTACTCACGGAATGAGGTTGTAATGCTGTACAGTTCATGTGTCAAACTTAAGGCCCACAGACTGAATCCAGCCCGCCATGTCATTTTATGGGGCACTCCAGGTGCTCTTGTATTCCTCATCATTAGACATAATGGCCAGAGCTGATGGGAGTTGTTGGATAAGGGTCGCAGTGGTTTCAGTAAGTGAATGAAGGTACTGCAAGTCCCATCATCCATGGTCCACCCTCCTCCAAACTGCAGCAGGATGTAGAGTGGCTCATGGGGGCTCTGTGTTCCAAGTTTAGTCTTGATCAGTCATTGGATGAGGGTCACAGTGGTTTCAGTAAGTGAGTGAAGGTACTGCAAGTCCCATCATCCATGGTCCATCCTCCTTCAAACTCCAGCAGGATGTAGAGTGGGTCATGGGGGCTCTGTGTGCCAAGTTTGGTCTTGATCAGTCATTGGATGAGGATCGCAGTGGTTTCAGTAAGTGAATGAAGGTACAGCAAGTCCCATCATCCATGGTCCGCCCTCCTCCAAACTGCAGCAGGATGTAGAGTGGGTCATGGGGGCTCTGTTTTCCAAGTTTGGTCTTGATCAGTTATTGGATGAGGGTTGCAATGGTTTCAGAAAGTGAGTGAAGGTACTGCAAGTCCTTAACCCTCCTCCAAACTACAGCAGGATGTAGAGTGGGTCATACAATAACATCTAGAAGGCTGAAGTTTGTTCTGTGTAGTAAGGATTGTGGATTTGAATTTAGATACAAGGCTTCTATAAATGTCTGGCTTTAAGATGTCATTTAACCTTTCCCCAATCTCAGAGCCTCAAGTGTTTTTGGCTTGCAATTCTCATTATCCCATCTGCATGACAGGCAATTAAAAATTATATGTGCTGCCATCTGATAACATCTGGAGACCCAAACTGGGTAAAAACTAAAGAGCACCAACCACTATGTAAAAAATAATAATATTTTGGTCCTCTGTATCCATTAATTCAATGGTCCTTTGAAAGCAACCATAAGTCAAATGTGGCTCTCGATGAAAATGGGTACCCTTAATATTCCTGCTTTGCTTCTATTGAACATTCATAAAATTGCACTGTAAGGGCTATTTCTCAACAATTAGGCACTTCACTATACACCATTCATCAAAGTTATTTCTATTTTATGAGAGAGAGAAAGAAATCATAATGATTTAATATCAGTGATATCCCACTGGTTTGCAAAAGGGACCGTATTCTGTAATTTGAAACCTAGGGTGCAGAACTTCTGATGTTATAGAGGTCAGAATGCCACCCCTCTGACGTCCCCTTCCATGAATTGGGTGCAACTGAAAAGTAAAATTGACACATATTTACAAAAGCCTGGGAAAGGGGGGGGAAAGGTATTTTGTGCCTAAAATCAATCAAATTGGCCTCTTGACAAACCTCTCTATGTAAAGTGTTCCACAGTTTAGAAGCTTACACTGATTCACTCCACCTGTGAGTAGTAACCTGTTGAAATTCAGTATGTGGACATATTCTGGAGTGAAAGGCTTTATGCATTAAAATAATCACTTTGTATTTTTAACTTGTAATTCTTTAAAGTGATTTTATACTTTTAAACATTTAATAGTTTAATGTTATGGTTTTAAAATGTGTTTTAATGTTATTGTAGTTTTTAAATCTGTTTTGTTTTTAGCTTGATGAAGTGCCTTTTTTCCATGCTTGGGAGTAAGATGGCATATACATTGTATAAATAAATCAAAGGAACAGCATAACTAAAGATATGCCTTTCATTTTCTTAATTTCTTATACTCCGAGGAACACATTGGACTGATTGGATCTTTGCCTGATCCAGTAAAGTCATTATGAAGATGGACAATGAAAATCACTACATACATATTGTGCATGAATCTATATAAATAAAAATGTAATGTTCGTTTGTGGGATTAACAGAACTCAGAAACCACTGGACGAATTGACACCAAATTTGGACACAAGACATCTACTAAAACTATCTATGTCCTTTACTCAAAAGAGATACCTATATGCCTATAATATCTATGTTTATAATAATAATAATAATAATAATAATAATAATAATAATAATATCTATTGTTGTTGTTGTTGTTCATTCGTTCAGTTGCCTCCGACTCTTCGTGACCTCATGGACCAGCCCACGCCAGAGCTCCCTGTCGGCCGTCCCCACCCCCAGCTCCTTCAAGGTCAGTCCAGTCACTTCAAGGATGCCATCCATCCATCTTGCCCTTGGTCGGCCCCTCTTCCTTTTGCCTTCCACTTTCCCCAGCATAATTGTCTTCTCTAGGCTTTCCTGTCTCCTCATGATGTGGCCAAAGTACTTCAACTTTGTTTCTAGTATCCTTCCCTCCAGTGAGCAGTCGGGCTTTATTTCCTGGAGGATGGACTGGTTGGATCTTCTCGCAGTCCAAGGCACTCTCAGAACTTTCCTCCAACACCACAGTTCAAAAGCATCTATCTTCCTTCGCTCAGCCTTCCCTAAGGTCCAGCTCTCACATCCATAGTTACTACTGGGAATACCATGGCTTTGACTAGGCGGATCTTTGTTGCCAGTCTGATGTCTCTACTCTTTACTATTTTATCGAGACTGGACATTGCTCTCCTCCCAAGAAGTAAGCGTCTTCTGATTTCCTGGCCACAGTCTGCATCTGCAGTAATCTTTGCACCTAGAAATACAAAGTCTGTCACGGCCTCCACATTTTCTCCCTCTATTTTCCAGTTGTCAATCATTCTTGTTGCCATAATCTTGTTTTTTTTATGTTTAGCTGCAACCCAGCTTTTGCGCTTTCTTCTTTCACCTTGATTAGAAGGCTCCTCAGCTCCTCCTCGCTTTTGGCCATCAAAGTGGTATCATCTGCATATCTAAGGTTGTTAATGTTTCTTCCAGCAATTTTAACCCCAGCCTTCATCAAGCCCCTCACATCGCATGATGTGTTCTGCATACAAGTTGAATAGGTTGGGTGAGAGTATGCAGCCTTGCCGTACGCCTTTCCCAATCTTGAACCAGTCTGTTGTTCCGTGGTCAGTTCTGACTGTTGCTACTTGGTCCTTGTACAGATTCCTCAGGAGAGAGACAAGGTGGCTTGGGATGCCCATCCCACTAAGAACTTGCCACAATTTATTATGATCCACACATAATAATAATAATAATAATAATAATAATAATAATAATAGCTATATAATATCAATAATAATAATAGATATATGCCTATAATACTATCTATAGGTCTGTAATAATATCCATACATCTGTTGCCTGTTTTTGCACGAAAGATGTTTAGCCCTGTGCTCCTTCTATTTTTATCAGTTTTATACTAATTCATGCAATGCTTTGAGTCCCCCCAGGGGTGAGAAAGGTAGTATATAAATACTGTAAATAATAATTATAACATTTTGATATGAAATAAAAAATAACATCTATAATAATAATACCTATATACCTTTAATAATAATATTTGTGTCTATAATAACAAGATCTATATGCCTATAATAATATCTATATGTCTATAATAATAATAATAATAATAATACCTATATAATATCTTTGAACTGGTTTATATGGCAATGTGGACTCAGGTAACCCAGGGCCCTTCCACACATCCATATAACCCTTTGACCTCGAGGAGACTGAAAAGGGGCCTATATTAGGTTGACACTTTGCCACTTCAGTTGTGTATTGATAGCTTAGAAACCAGCTCTTTCTCTTTTCTTTCCCATTTCTCCCCAATGGGCTACAGCAACGCGTGGCCGGGTACAGCTAGTGTAATATAAAATGTGTGCTGTATCCATTCTTGTCTGTACATCGCACCTACCCTAAAATCCTTATATTTCACCTGTCATGCCCAGCACTTTTAACTTTATCCATTACATTTGGTCTGGCCCTAGTTTTAATGTGTTATGATGTATTGTTTTATTGTTTTACTGTTATTGCTTTAATGTTTATTGGTTTGCTTTTTGAGTTTTATTGTTTGTATTTGTTATGCTGTTGTTTTATTGAGGGCCTTGGCCTTTGTAAGCCGCACCCAGTCCTTTGGGAGATGTTAGCAGAGTACAAATAAAGTTAATAATAATGATTATTATTATATTGCAGACTAGATTGATTTCAGTAATAGCAATAAAAGAAATCCTATCTCATCCTAAAGAGCAGTACCTATTGCCTTTGGAAAAATTACATTTAGTTTCATAATTTTGTGACAATTTATATTCTGTTGTAGTTGTATATTTGAACCAGAAGGAAATGCATGCAGTCTGACAGACAGCACAGCTGAAGAACATGTATTAGCTTTGGTGGAGCACGCAGCAGATGAAGCACGCGATCGGATCAATCAGTGTCTTCCAAACAGCAAGGTATTGCCATTTAAATCAGATTGTCTGTGTTGACATTTCATATTCTCATGGACATCTTGAATAAGATTACTATTATCTATGACCCTATGTACAAGCTGAGTGCAGGTTTGGGGGCTGATATTATGGATTTTGCTATGTCCTGCAGATAAATTGAGGATCATTCTGCAAGAGGGGAAAGTGCAACTCATCCCCACCCCCAGTGGGGAAAGCCAGCACTACCTTTTCCCCACCCAGGCATTCAGAAAGCCCTTTGGCCATTGTGCACAGAGAAAAGGGTGCCTCCTTTGTTGATTTAATGTAAGGTACAGTATTGACTTTTATCAAAAAAGGAACCATTCCCTTCACTGAGTAGAGTGACAGAATGTGAGAACTTAGTCTATCCTGGAAGAACCTAAAAGAAGTGCCATCATGTCTACTCTCTCAGCTGCTGTGTTATTGCTGGCTTTTGGGTGTGTGTTTTAGGTTTTTCCAGGATAGATTAAGCTCTTTCCTTTTGCCACTCAAGGGATTTTTTTTTCACATAAGAGTTACGGTATGGTACATAATTTGACCAGTAAATAAGTCGGCCCAGGCTTTGGGGGAATTGGGTTGTTGTAGGTTTTTCCGAGCTATATGACCATGTTCTGGAGGCAATTTTTCTCCTGACGTTTTGCCTGAATCTATGGCAAGCATCCTCAGAGGTAGTGAGGTTTGTTGGAAGTAGGAAAAATGGGTTTATATATCTGGAATGACCAGGGTGAGACAAAGGACTTTTGTCTGCTGGGGCTAGGTGTGAATATTTCAGCTGATCACCTAGCCCCAGCAGACAAAATGTTTCAACATTCACACCTAGCCCTAGCAGACAAAAGTCCTTTGTCTCACCCTGGTCATTCCACAGATATATAAACCCATTTTTCCTACTTCCAACAGACCTCACTACCTCTGAGGATGCTTGCCATAGATGCAGGCGAAACGTCAGGAGAAAAATTGCCTCCACAACATGGCCATATAGCCGGAAAAACCTACAACAACCCAGTGATTCCGGCCATGAAAGCCTTCGACAATACTTTGGGGGAACTATTTTGTTCTGTATTGTCTAGTTTTATACACGAGTTTATAATGTAAACATTTTTCATTCATTCATGAATTGAATGGGAATCGTGTAGCAACTTCATAGAAGCTAAGTCTCCAGAATATTTGCAGTAAATCTTTGAAAACATGTTGAGGTCATAGTTTGCAGAAGTTCATAGCAGAAGTTTTCATCAAGGACAGTAGTTCCCAATTTTTGGTCCTCCAGTTGTTGGGACTTCAACCACCAGAAGCTCTGACCATCTTGGCCAACTGTCAGGAATTCTAGGTGTTGAAGTCCAAGACACCCAGAGGATCAAAGGTTGGGATTGGCCGATCTAGGACATGGTCCTAGTCTCTGCTGTGATGAACATCCCCCTGCAAGCATCATAAATTAGATAGCTTCCATGTTTATATTACTGTCCTGACATGATTTCTCAATATGATAGGACTAGAGACATTTCAGGATAAACTTAGAAAATAGATATCTGATGATTGAGTTAAATTGCAAATAGAGCATATTACATAAGCCTAATTTAAAATCATTAATGCCCTGGGATCTCTTCTGCGCTTTGAATACCACTGAACTGATAAAAGATTTATTCTGGAAATTAGACTGCCTATTTTCAAGGCAAGCACTTGGCTTCATGTAGACCTAAGTTAGTTTACGTACCTATTTGCCTATTAGTTATATTTTTACTTTTATTTACTGCTATGGTTCTGGCTGTAGTTTATTTATTTATTTGCGGCATTTATCTGTCGCCCTTCCCACCCCAAAGGGGACTCAGAGCGGCATACAATATATTATATTATTGGCATAGTACAATATCAGTTTTAAATATCACTATATTGTACTATACCAATTATATTGTAATATTATTAGTAATATTACATGTAATATAAATATATAATTATAATATCTTATTAGTATTATATTGCATTACATTATAATATTATAAATATTATATGTATATACAATATATTATATGTATATACAATATCAGTTTTAAATACTAATACTATTACAATTATATTGTAATAGTATTAGTAATATTACATGCAATATAAATATATAATTATAATATCATATTATTAGTAGTAGAAGTAGTAGTAGTATATTGTATTGCATTATAATATTATTAATATTATATGTATATAAATATATTATATATTATATTGTATTATTAGACTAGCACAGGAGACAAGGTGGAACTGTCTCCTGCCCCCCCCCCCCTTCACTCCAGCCCAGAGCGGCAGTTGGTGCTGGGGGGGAGGGGTCTCCGGCCGATGGCATATGCAGGAGACAAGATGGTGCTGTCCCCTGGCCTCCCCTCTCTTCTCTCCAGCCCAGAGCACCAGTTGGTGCTGGGGGGAGGGGTCTCCAGCTGATGGCATATGCAGGAGACAAGATGGTGCTGTCCCTTGGCCTCCCCTCTCTTTGCTCTGGCCCAGAGTGGCAGTTGGTTCCTATTGCAGTGTGAATATGGAAGTCAGTATGCTATGGACACAACCAACATGTTAGTATCAGAATTCCCAGAGTGACATTGTGTTGCTGTAAATCTTGCCACTGTGTGTGCACTGTTTAGCTAATATTGTAATAGTATTATATTGTAATAGTATTAGTAATATTACATGCAATATAAATATATAATTATAATATCATATTATTAGTAGTAGAAGTAGTAGTAGTATATTGTATTGCATTATAATATTATWAATATTATATGTATATAAATATATTATATATTATATTGTATTATTAGAMTAGCACAGGAGACAAGGTGGAACTGTCTCCTGCCCCCCCCCCCCTTTCACTCCAGCCCAGAGCGGCAGTTGGTGCTGGGGGGGAGGGGTCTCCGGCCGATGGCATATGCAGGAGACAAGATGGTGCTGTCCCCTGGCCTCCCCTCTCTTCTCTCCAGCCCAGAGCACCAGTTGGTGCTGGGGGGAGGGGTCTCCAGCTGATGGCATATGCAGGAGACAAGATGGTGCTGTCCCCTGGCCTCCCCTCTCTTCACTCCAGCCCAGAGCACCAGTTGGTGCTGGGGGGAGGGGTCTCCAGCTGATGGCATATGCAGGAGACAAGATGGTGCTGTCCCTTGGCCTCCCCTCTCTTTGCTCTGGCCCAGAGTGGCAGTTGGTTCCTATTGCAGTGTGCATATGGAAGTCAGTATGCCATGGACACAACCAACATGTTAGTATCAGAATTCCCAGAGTGACATTGTGTTGCTGTAAATCTTGCCACTGTGTGTGCACTGTTTAGCTAAGAATGAATAATGTTAATTCCAAGTGAATTGTCTGCAAATATTCCTAATTCCACAAAGAAATGCTTATTTCTTTGCTGAATAGTTTCACAGCCGGAATCACCAGTGTGTTGTGTGGTTTCTGGGCTATATGGCTGAAGATGTCAGCTACAGACATCCACAGCTACAGCTACAGATGCAGGCAAAACCTCAGGAGAAAATGCTGCTAGAACCCGGAAACCACACAAAACCCCAATGCTTATTTCCTTTGGGACATGCATTATACCCCTTCCCATCACAATACATAAATACAGGGGGCAAGTATATGTCTAGCCCTGATTATGCATAATCCTTACAGTGCAGGCAAAATTCTTTAGACTTTTTAGTTTAGTGGATGTTCACTGTTTATTAGGAAACTTAATAATAATATGTATAATTGTGTCTATTTACAGATAGGATATCTGAAAAAGAATGGTGATGGATCTTTAATCTTCAGTGTACTTAATCCATCAGATCCAGAAGCAGAAGGTAAATGTTCTAATAGACATTAAGGAGCTTTACATATAGTTTTTATTGCTATATGGCCATGTTTTATTTTCAGATTTGTTCTTTTTTTTTTGAGTAAGAGAACTCCATCTTATTTTGAATGATCCAAATAGATACCTTGGCCAGTAAAGGTTGTATGTTGCAATGTTTGAATAGAATGCAAAAGACTAAATTGTATATCCACATAAATTCTTAGCAGCATGTGTTAGGTTACAACAGAGAGCTAATGGTAATATCCATGAAGGTTTACAGTGGATGTGAGGCTAGATCAGGGGTCCACAAACTTTTTAAACAGAGGGCCAGGTCACAGTCCCTCAAACTGTTGGAGGGCCGGATTATAATTTGAAAAAAACATGAATGAATTCCTATGCATACCACATATCTTATTTGTAGTGCAAAAATCACTTAAAAACAATACAATAATTAAAATGAAGAACAATTTAACAAATATAAACTTATTAGTATCTCAATGGGAAGTATGGGCCTGCTTTTGGCTCATGAGATAGGATTGTTGTCATTGTTGTTGTGTGCTTTCAAGTCGTTTCAGACTTAGGTTGACCCCGAGCGAGGGCCAGGTAAATGACCTTGGAGGGCTGCATCCGGCCCCCGGACCTTAGTTTGAGGACCCCTGGGCTAGATCATCTCCAACCTTTGGGCTTCCCTGGGCCATATTGTGAGAAGAAGAATTGTCTTAGGCCACACACTAACACACGAAAAGGTGGATATTTTTTGTAATATCCACCATGACAGATACACCAAAAAAAAAGTCCTCGCATAATAATCCTGATTTTGTGCCACCCCATTTGAAGGGTTTTTAAAATTAATCAAGCAGGTTTTCTGGCTAACTTGTTCACAATTACAATACAAATTACAGATAATAGTCCAACATTAGTTTTATTTATTTATTTATTTATTTATCTTAACATTAGTAGACTTAGTATACTCTAATTCAGGGGTCCACAAACTTTTTAAACAGAAGGCCAGGTCACAGTCCCTCAAACTGTAGGAGGGCTGGATTATAATTTGGAAAAAAATGAATGAATTCCTATGCACTCTGCACATATCTTATTTGTAGTGTAAAAAACACTTAAAAACAATACAATAATTAAAATGAGGAGCAATGTTAACAAATATAAACTTATTAGTATTCCAATGGGAAATGTCGGCCTGCTTTTGGCTGATGAGATAGGAATGTTGTTGTTGTGTGCTTTCGAGTCGTTTCAGACTTAGGTTGACCCTGAGCGAGCGCCCGGTAAGTGACCTTGGAGGGCCGCATCCGGCCCCCGGGCCTTAGTTTGAGGACCCCTGCTCTAATTAGTCCATTTCATTGTATTTATTCTACAGAACTCACACTCAAAATCTGTTCAATCGAGTAATTAACCCCCCCCCCCCCCAATCCCATAATGTTTTAAGTATTTTTACAATATTTTGTGTGCCACATTCATTGGGATTTTGGACAAGCCTGGATTAGAACATAAAAATCAATCTGCATTTTTCAAGGGAGTTTTTAATCTGAAAAAGACATTCTTGTTGCTGACTAAATGACTGTATCATCCCTCTTACTGATCATAAATTTCTCATCTATTTAAATAAGTAGCCTTTCAATTATTTCACTAAAATGTAGGTGATCAACCTGTGGTACAGCCAGAGGGCATTGAAGGCATAGTAGATATAGTAGGGGCCGATGGGCCTGGTTGTGGCAATTAATTTGATCTGCACCCGCCCCAACTTTGCTGCTGTCTACTTCACAACCAGATAGATTTAACAGCCAAAATCTTCAAGCACAATAGCAAAGCAGCACTTTAACCTGATTGTAAATGCAAAATTCAACAGCATCACACAGGAGCTTGGATTCTATCAATCTTCTTATACATATATGTTATGAAATAGGGATAAGTGTAGAGCAGCGTTTCTCAACCTGGGGGTCGGGACCCCTGTGGTGGTCACGAGGGGACGTCAGAGGGGTCACTAAAGACCATCAGAAAACACTCTTATTTTCTGTTGATCATGGGTGTTCTCTGTGGGAAGTTTGGCCCAATTCTATTGTTGGTGGGTTCAGAATGATCTTTGATTGTAGGTGAACTATAAATCCCAGCAAATACAATTCCTAAACATCAAGATCTATTTTCCACAAACTTCACTAATGTTCATATTTGGCCATATTGAGTATCCGTGCCAAGTTTGGCCTAGATACATCATTGTTTAAGTCCACAGTGCTCTCTGGATGTAGGTGAACTACAACTCCAAAACTCAAGGTCAATGCCCAACAAACTCTTCCAGTATTTTCTGTTGATCATGGGAGTTCTGTGTGCCAAGTTTGGTTCAAATCCATCGTTGGTGGGGTTCAGAATGCTCTTTGATTGTAGGTTAACTATAAATCCCAGCAACTACAACTCCCAAATGACAAAATCAACCCCCCCCCCTCCAACCTCGCCAGTATTCAAATTTGGGCATATCAGGTATTCGTGCCAGATGTGGTCCAGTGAATGAAAATACATCCTGCATATCAGATGTTTACATTATGATTCATAACAGTAGCAAAATTACAGTTATGAATAGCAATGAAAATAATGTTATGGTTGGGGGTCACCACAACATGAGGAACTGCATTAAGGGGTCACAGCATTAGGGAGGTTGAGAACCACTGGTGTAGAGATTATGATTGTGATTCAGATTCCATACCTAAGCGTTGATACTGATTATTATACTTTTATATATTTTAAATTAAAAACAGAGGAGGAAACCCACCCAGTGGATCTGAGTTCCTTGTCAAGCAAACTATTACCTGGTTTCACAGCACTGGGTTTTAAAGATGACAGAAGACATAAAGGTACTACTCATGTATTAAACATCTCTGAGGAAATTAATTTTGATATTGTGAAGAGTAAATACTTTATATTAAAACTTTGGGCAATGTGTTTGAACTTTTATTCACTTGTAAAGAAAGAAAAGAATGTCACTTTGGATGGTTTTAGAGCTTGATCTAAAGCTGAATGTCTGGATCCATAGAAAACCATGTTTTTAGGTGAACTAATTGACTGTTTCAATTGATTATATTGCACACTAGACGTCCCCTGCCACGCGTTGCTGTGGCCCAGTCTGGTGATCTGGAAAATAAAGTAATGAGAAAGTTTTGGTTTCTAATATATGTAATTTCTTTATGCTTGTGGGTAAAAGGTATTTGTCTTTGTCAGTGTTGATGTAGAGATTGTCTGGTTTGCCCACTCTGGAATATGCAACATATAATTGTCCTTCTTTAGGGGTCCCTTTCAAATCTATGATATTATGTGTATAGAATCATAGAGTTGGAAGAGACCTCATGGATCATCCAGTCCAACCCCCTGCCAAGAAGCAGGAATATTGCATTCAAAGCACCCATGACAGATGGCCATCCAGCCTCCAAAGAAGGAGCCTCCACCACACTCCGGGGCAGAGAGTTCCACTGCTGAACAGCTCTCACAGTCAGGAAGTTCTTCTTAATGTTCAGATGTGTGTGTATGTGTGAATCATATTTTTCTCTCTATATCTATAGCTGGATAGCTCTTTGTCAGGAGGGCGTTGATTACGTTTTCTTGCCCTGGTTAAGGGGGTTGGACTGGATGCCCTTAAATATTTTCTGTTGATCATGAGGGTTCTGTGTGGGAAGTCTGCCCCAATTCTGTCGTTGGTGGGGTTCAGAATGCTCTTTGATTGTAGGTGAATTATACATCCCAGTAAATACAACTTCCAAATGTCAAGGTCTATTTCCCCCAAATCCCATCTGTGTTCATATCTGGGCATATGGAATATTCGTGCCAAGTTTGGTCCAGATCCATCATTGTTTGAGTCCACAGTGCTCTCTGGATGTAGGTGAACTACAACTCCAAAACTCATGGTCAATGCCCACCAAACCCTTCTAGTCTTTTCTGTTGGTCATGGGAGTTCTGTGTGCCACGTTTGGTTCATTTCCATCATTGGTGGGTTTCAGAATGCTCTTTGACTGTAGGTGAACTATACATCCCAGCAACTACAACTCCCAAATGACAACATCAATTTTTTGAGTGATGGTCACTCATTGGCCTGATAGGCGTATTGTGTCCAAATTTGAGGTCAATTCACCTAGTGGTTTTTAAGTTATGTTAATCCTACAAACGAGCATTACATTTTATTTATATCTATATAAATAAAAATTTAATGTTCGTTTGTGGTATTCACAGAACTCAAAAACCACTGGATGAATTGACACCAAATTTGGACACAAGATACCTAACAACCCAATGTATGTCCTTCACTCCAAATAATTGATTTTGTCATTTGGGAGTTGTAGTTGCTGGGATTTATAGTTCACCTACAATCAAAGAGCATTCTGAACTCCACCAACGATGGAATTGAACCAAACTTGGCACACAGTTCTTCCATGACCAACAGAGAATACTGGAAGGGTTTGGTGGGCAGTGTCCTTTGGTTTTGGAGTTGTGGTTCACCTACATCCAGAGATCACTGTGGACTCAAACAATGATGGATCTGGACCAAACTCTACACGAATACTCAATATGCCCAAATGTGAACACTGGTGGAGTTTGGGGAACATAGAATCTTGACATTTGGGAGTTGTAGTTGCTGGGATTTATAATTCACCAACAATCACAGAGCATTCTGAACCCCACAATGATAGAATTGGGCCAAACCTCCCACACAGAACCCCCATGTGGGCCACAGCAACGCGTGGCAGGGGACAGCTAGTAGATAATATAATACAATATAATAATTGAATGTTTGCTGTATATATGCTGTGCTCCACCCTGAGTCCCCTTTGGGGTGAGAAGGGCGGAATATAAATGTTTTAAATAAATAAAATAAATAAATAATACTGTATTGTTTCACACTGACTAAGCTATAACTGAGACTTCTGATTGTAGCCCTTTCCTCTTTCCCTGCTGCATATGAAGTCAATCAAACAGATCCTATGTTATCCAGACCAGCAAACTCTGGTGCCTGATTCCTACAAAACAGAGATTTGCTTGTGTTTTTTGTGAAAGAGGGTGCCAAATACATTTTTCTTATCTTTCCAGTTACTTTTCTTTCAAGTGCTAATACTGCACTGTCTATGCAAAACCATTCCATCTTTCATGATTTGAAAGCTGATGAAATGGATCTCCTGTATTCAGGATATGGAGATGAAACTGGGATCCAGTGTGCTTTAAGGTAAGCATGTTGTAAATCAGCATTGTGTTTCAGACTACAGTAACGTCACGATTGCTTAATAGTAAGGCATACAGTAGAAAGCAATTCATTTGGAAGCTAGCATAACTGGCGTTCAGAGGTTTTTAGGACAAAATTTTAATCTGCAGAATGGTGGTTTTTTTTAAAAAAGAAAATATACTATCTTGCATGAGAGCTTTAAAAAGGAGATTTTTCAATCTTGTATTCATTCTAAAATACAGAAATGCACGGAGTTGGGTTAATATGTGATGTTATATATTAATTTCTTCTAGCCTGCAGGAATTTGTGAAAGATTCTGGAAGTTACAGTAAAAAAATAGTGGATGACTTGTTAGATCAGATCACTGGGGGAGATCATTCCAAAATCATTTATCAGCTAAAACAAGTAAGTCTCCATTATGTAGACGCCAAGTGAACATTGTGTGTGTATGTATGTATGTGTCTGCTAGCTTATGGCAACCCTTAGAGATGGTTCTCTGAAGTAGCCTACAGTAGGGCTTCTTAAACTTTTTCCACTGCCCTAGAAGCTTTTGTATGATCTTGTTTATTTATTTATTTACCATATTTTTATACCGCCTTTCTCAACCCAAGGGCGACTCAGGGCAGTTTACAAGTGGCACAATTCGATGCTCCCAACAACATAAAAACAATTAAAACATTTAGCATAAATAACATCAGATGAAACAGTAAAAACTAATAAAAACATAAATCCTCAGCATCTCATTATAAAACCATTATCCAATCGCATTGTCCAGTCATTCCGTAGATCAGAGTTTGTCTGCTACACTGCATTTGGGAATGCCTGCTCAAAAAGCCATTTTTTTGCAAAATGTTAGGAGGGTGGGGGCCGATCTGATATCTCTAGGGAGGGCGTTCCACAGCCAAGGGGCCACCGCTGAGAAGGCCCTGTCTGTTGTGACTAAGCTTGATTCTGAGTCTGAAGCTGAGCTCTTTGGGCCTTTTGAGCCAGAATTCCTACAGGATGATGAGGAGGAGGATGGATTACAGATTTCTGTACATGCTTCAGACAGGGCTGATGGTGGGACTGCTGAAGGAGAAACAGCAAATCAGTTCCCAGGGGAAAGGAATGTTAGTGAGACTGATAATGAGAGTGAATTCCCACACGGCCAGGTGGAGACGTCTTTTCCTCCCCACAGTGATCTGGTCCAGCTGGACCAAGATAAGGGGTTACATAGCCTTGAAGATAATAAATTAATGAGCAGGCAAGATCATCTGCAATTAAGGCTCCAGAGAAGCACTCGCTTGGCTAGCAAGCAAGAAGCCAAGGGTGCCAAAGGTCAACGCAATGTGTTCATGTCTTCAAAGGGTATTTAGCCTTGGAGCTGACAAGCAGGGGTTGTCAGTCCAACGTAGCTCTTCCCATGCAAACTTCTGTGGATTAACTTTGGCTTTTAGCAGCACACTTCTGGCTTCCTGAGTCTGGGATTTGGGCCTTGTTTTCAACTGTTTTCCAGTTGAAAACAATTGCAAAAGGATTATGCTTCATGTTTTTGCCTTTGAATCTTGGGATCTTTGTCTTTGCATTTAAGTCTTCGTCCTGCCTATGGAACTTTTGCAGTTCTTATACTTTGTTTTGATTTTGCCTTTTTCTCAATAAACTACAAAACCTACAGCTTTGGTGTGGTGGTGTCTGGAGCAAGGTGAAACCTACCCTGAGTTGCAACACTGTCCTTCATCCCTGCCAACCAAATCTATGAAGAAGGCAGGACCAAGAACAGGGCCTCCCCAGACGACCTTAGAGTCCTAGCTATATACTGTGGTATATAGCTATACTGTGGTATATAGCTACAGTATATAAAATATTTATACAAATCAAACATACACTGATAATAAATAAGAAATTTCTCTTAAGACAATTATTTTGTATACATATAATTGAACCTTTAATAAAATATGGAAAGCAAATTTGCATACTAATGGGATGGATGTGCTTGCTTATTTTTACAAAAAGAATGTGGATTATCTGCTTTGATAACCTGGATTATATGGCAGCGTAGAAGGGCCCAGATTCTCCTTCTCAAAAAAATCATTTCTCTTTTTTTTCTCTCTCTCTCTCTCACTGCAATGAGTGGAACTGACAGAACCAATTGATCGATAAAGTAGGGACTGAGTATATATATGTGTGCGTGCGTGCGTGTGTGCTTACTGTGAAGAATAGGAAAAAAATCAAGAAAATCATTATATTTTTCTCATTTTTAGAGGAGAAACATTCCAGTGAAACCTCCAGATGAAATGAAAGTAAGTTGTATTACATTAAAAAACACTTTTGTTTTATTTCATAATGTGTTTTCATTGTAAATTTATTTTTGAATTGTATTGAGTAGTATAAAGCACCCATAAATAATAATAATAATAATCCTTTATTTATACCCCACTACCATCTCCCAGAGGACCCAGTGCGGCTTACAAGAGGCCGAGCCCAAATACATCAACAAAACAACAACAACAACAACAACAAAGCAAAATAAATGAACTCGTAAAACAAGCAATAAACATTAACAAACATCACGACGCATTAAAATCTGTGGCAGGGCCAAGTGTAGTAGTTTAAAAAAATTAAAATTTTAAAAAGTGAACTTTTTGTAAACCATAAATTATGACATAGTTTATAACAGCATTCTAAATATTCTGTGTCTTTACATCAAAGATAGTTCTGTTTCTTGCTTAATTGTTACTTACCCATGATGCCGTATTTAGAGTGTTGTACTATACTGTAGTTCTAGAACAGGGTATGAATCCTTACTCGACCATGAAAACCGCATGGCAATCTTATTTTTTTTATTTATTTACTTGATTTACTTTATTTTTATCCTATATTTCTCCTGACATAGGAACTCAAGGCAGCTAACATCAAACATGGCACAATACAAATTAAAAACAAAACAAACATTGTATAGCTATGAGTATAAAAATAACAAAAAATCACATCTTTGTGTCAAAAAGCATAACAATTAAAACACAATCACAGTTAAAAACTGCCCAGTGCCCTCCAATCCCACTCACACAATCCCCAGCAGCCTGCCCCTAATAATTCCCCAAATGTCTGATGGCAGAGATATGTTTCCACCCCCCACCCCTGTGAAAGGCAAGTCTAAGAGTAAGGAAAAAAATGGCAACCCCCCTCTGAATAAATCTTGCCAAATTTTTTATCATGTCAGAAGCAACTTGAGAAACTGCAAGTCACTTCTGGTGTGAGAGAATTGGCAGTCTGCAAGGACATTGCCTGGGGGACACCCAGATGTTTTACCATCCTGTGGGAGGTTTCTCTCATGTTCCAGTATGGGAAGCTGGAGCTGACAGATGGGAGCTCACGCCATCGTGCAGATTCGAACGTCCAGCCGGCTCAAGGGTTTAACCCAGGGGTCCTCAAACTTTTTACACAGAGGGCCAGGTCACAGTCCCTCAAACTATTGGAGGGCCAGATTATAATTTGGGAAAAAAAAAGAATGAATTCCTATGCACACTGCACATATCTTATTTGTAGTGCAAAAAATACTTTAAAACAATACAATAATTAAAATGAAGAACAATTTTAACAAATATAAACTTATTAGTATTTCAATGGGAAGTGTGGGTCTGCTTTTGACTGATGAGATAGGATTGTTGTTGTGTGCTTTCAAGTCGTTTCAGACTTAGGTTGACCCTGAGTAAGGGCCGGGTAAATGACCTTGGAGGGCCATATCCGGCCCCTGGGCCTTAGTTTGGGGACCCCTGGTTTAACCCATTGCACCACCACAGCTCCTATGAGGATCTTGTCAATAAAACTCTGTGATAGAGTTGCCATGTAGTCACCATAACTTGGAAATGACTTGAAAGCACACAACAACACATCAAAGGAAAAAGAATCCATATTATACCCTATGACAGAATGTGACATTCTGTTATTGTGATTTTGGTGATGAGGAATGAAAGTGCCTCTGGAAAAGTGAATATTCGTTCTAAATTGGTAACTGTTCAAATATGTGTTAATGGTTTAGGTTCCACCGGTTCTCATTAAAGAAGAACACAAATTGCGCAATACTTGTCCAGATGCCTCCAAGCAAAGTATGGTAAGATGCGTTATACCATTTGTACTTTTCAATTTTTGGGGGGGTGATCGTTAGAAGAACTGAAAATTTAGAAAATAATGTTTCCACTCGTTTGATCTTTTTTAAGACAGGAAAGCTTGTAGACAGAGACTACCATGTCTTTGGTTTAAATAATAACAATCTCCAAAATACTGCTGGTAATATTTTCAAATATAAGGGGTGAAATAGAGGTGCTTTAAATAAATCTGCCATTAAGAAGAAGAGGCATGCTATAAATAATATTACTAATCAATGTGCTCAACCAAATACATGTCTAGATATTGAAATCATTGTATTCTTTATTATCAAGATATATTCATAACAAAGAGACATCAGTTTTCATCTTGGAAAAATGTCTTTTTTGTAAATATCGTAGAGATATTCCATGCTGGAACTAGGGAGGTCTGTTTAAATCTCTGCTCATTCATAATGTTCTTTGTTAGCCAATGAAAGGGAACTGGGCATGTTTAGCCTGAAGAAGAGAAGGCTGAGAGGAGATATGATAGCCATGTATAAATATGTGAGAGGAAGCCACAGGGAGGAGGGAGCAAGCTTGTTTTCTGCTTCCTTGGAGACTAGGACACGAAACAATGGCTTCAAACTACAAGAGAGGAGATTCCATCTGAACATTAGGAAGAACTTCCTGACTGTGAGAGCCGTTCAGCAGTGGAACTCTCTGCCCCGGAGTGTGGTGGAGGCTCCTTCTTTGGAAGCTTTTAAGCAGAGGCTGGATGGCCATTTGTCAGGGGTGATTTGAATGCAATATTCCTGCTTCTTGGCAGGGGGTTGGACTGGATGGCCCATGAGGTCTCTTCCAACTCTTTGATTCTATGATTCTATGAAAGCTGCTGTGTTTCGGTGTCAATTGTTTTAACATAGCTGTTTTGAATATAAAGCTGGGTCTTAGCCATTCCCAAAGATTGTCCTGTTTGAGATAATACTCTTGTTTAGGGGTAAACTAATGGCTCCCTTATTACATTATGCAGCCAACATTATCCTCTTTCTCTTCAGGTTGGAGAAGCCATCGGAGACAATACGAGTTCTGTTTTGGATTTTCTATCTATGAAACCATATTCAGATGTGTCTCTTGATATATCGATGTTGAGTTCATTGGGTAGGTGTAATTCAGTATTTAAATAGTGAAAGTATTACTTTACTTACTTAGGCAATCCCTTGTTTTCCAAGGAGGATTGTCTTCCAGTATTCTTGTGGGTCCGTATGTGGCTGTGGAGCCCTATTCTTGCTCTGCATCTTCTTCCGCAGTGAGGGCATTGGTTTCCAGGTGGGAGGCGGTCTCGGTCAGGTTGGCTTGACGCCCCTTCCTCTTGGCACGCTTCTCTCTTTCGCCCCCCATTCCCTCTCAGGCCCGTAGCCAGGATTTTTTTCGGGGGGGGGGGGCTGAGTTGGGGTGGGGGGGGCTGAGTCTGAGTGAAAGAGGGTCTACCCTAGCAAACCTTTTGTATCGTTACCCCCAAACCCCCATGCATATGAGATATATTGAGCATGGTGATCAGATCATGATATGAATAAACATAACAGTTTAAATAATACACCAGTAAGGCCTTTTCGCGAACCACCATGAGAATTTGGGGGGGGGGGGGGCTGAACCCCTAAGACCCCCCCCCCCCCCCCGGCTACATGCCTGGTGCCTCTTCAAATTCTGCTGGTCACAGCTGACCTCCAGCTGGAGCGGTCAAGGGCCAGGGCTTCCCAGTTCTCAGTGTCTATGCCAGAGTTTTTAAGGTTGGCTGTGAGCCCATCTTTAAATCTCTTTACTTAGTAGTTCATGTATAATACACTGGTTCTCTGGCTTTTGTTTTCACCCACCACTTGATCAGTGCTGGGATCTCAGTACAGCACCCAAACAATTGTGTGAAAATTAGAGGCACAGAGAACCACATATTTTCATAGAAGTACTAGCTGTCCCCTGCCAGTGGGGTTGTGTGGCCCACTCTGGTAGTCATGGGGTTCTGTGTGGGAGGTTTGGCCCAATTCTATCATTGGTGGGGTTCAGAACGCTCTGTGATTGTAGGTGAACTACAAATTCCAGCAACTACAACTCCCAAATGTCAAGATTGTATTTTCCCCAAACTCCATCAGTGTTCATATTTGGGCATATTGAGTATTTGTGTAGAGTTTGGTCCAGATCCATCATTGTTTGAGTCCACAGTGCTCTCTGGATATAGGTGAACTACAACTCCAAATCTCAAGGTCAATGTCCACCAAACTCTTCCAGTATTCTCTGTTTGCCATTAGAGTTCTGTGTGCCAAGATTGGTTCAATTCCATCATTAGTGTAGTTCAGAATGCTCTTTGATTGTAGGTGAACTATAAATCCCAGCAACTACAACTCCCAAATGACAAAATCAACTTATTTTGAGTGAAGGACATACATTGGGTTGTTAGGTGTCTTGTGTACAAATTTGGTGTCAATTCATCTAGTGGTTTTTGAGTTCTGTTAATCCCACAAACAAACATTAAATTTTTATTTATATAGATTTCCTACTTTTTTTCAACAACATTGTTCTCCTACTTTTCATGTTATCTGCGGAGTTGTATGGTTCGTTTTATTTTGTTCTGCTTGGTCCTTTTTTTAAAACAAAATTATGTCTCATTTAAATGGAAAATGTAATAAAAATAAATAAGAAGCAAGATATTCCACTACAGATCTAAAATGTATTATCTAGCACCATCAACTTGGCCAAAATGTGTACACCTTTCATATAGACATATTTTGAAGCGTTTGTGATCTTTATTGGTAAAGAAAGCTAGTAGTGTCCTTCAGCTATTTGACTTCAATTCTTTTCTGATATCTGGCTGTTGTGCTTTTCTAATTGCCATGTAAATTGAATATTTTTTAAACCTTGAGGTACAATTAATATGTCTGTAGAAGATGAAAGTATATTGCCTTTATTTAGTTTTAATATAAAAGAAAATTTGATAGGGGATAGGATAATGAAAGTTATTCCATTAAATAGTTCATTCAAAACCAGATTGTTATTATTATTACTGCTACTAATACTATTACATTTACAGGTAAAGTAAAGAAGGAACTTGATCATGATGAAAATCATTTACACTTGGACGAAACCACAAAATTACTGCAGGATCTTCATGAGGCACAGACTGACCGAGTAGGATCTAGGCCTTCCTCCAACCTCAGTTCCCTCTCTAATGCATCTGAAAGGGATCAGCATCATCTAGGTAAAGCTCATTAGACAATAATACAATCTACTCCATGGTCTGAGGTTATGTTTCATACAAGCTCAGAGATCTTCAGTATTTTGAATTGAGTGGTCTCGGGTTTGTCTCCCCTCTACTGGAGTCACTAATTCCTTTTTTTAAACATTTTTTTATTTTTACAATACAAAAAATACATAACGTGCACACACAAAACATTTACAATTCCCACCACCAACGTGAGGATTATTTTCTTTCACATATTCATTTCTTTGTGAGACAATCATTATATCTTTATCTTTATACATTTCCATCCTGTATACTATATAACATTTGTATCTTATTTCTTATGGCTTGATCTCCAGAATGATTCATAATATAGTTCTTTACCCTTATCCATCTATCTTCCATTTTTCTCATTCTATTTTCATTTATTTTTAAATCATTTAATTTCACATTCATAATTTCAAATTCCACTTGCTCCACCATATATTGGTACCATTTATTTACTGTCCATTTTGATTTAACTTTCCGCCCTAATACTATTACTGCTTGTGCACATTCTATTATTGCTTCTTTTATTTCCCGTTTCCTCTCTTTTCCCTAATACTGCCATTTCCTTTATGATCCACTAATTTCTTAGTACTTGATTTGACTCATTTTGTATAGTCTGCCAAAAATCTTGTACATATTCACATTCCCATGTCATGTGCATAAAGCGCCCTTTCTGATGGCATCCACTGACTACTCCCCTTTTTATAGTAGTATGCTAATTGGCAGGGTGTACGATACCATTTGTGCAATATTTTCCTCCTCAAGAAATGAGAAATGTGCTAGAGACAATAGGGATGGAAAGGAATACCAAAGTACGAGAAATGAGGAGGAAAATATGGAGTCACTAATTCCTGGTCTTTGGCATCTGTGTGCAGGTTACTGCTAGACTCTTGTGTCATGAGATTCACATTAGAAAGAAAATGCTTTGATACAGTTTAGAATCATAGAATCAAAGAGTTGGAAGAGACCTCATGGGCCATCCAGTCCAACCCCCTGCCAAGAAGCAGGAATATTGCATTCAAATCACCCCTGACAGATGGCCATCCAGCCTCTGTTTAAAAGCTTCCAAAGAAGGAGCCTCCACCACACTCCGGGGCAGAGAGTTCCACTGCTGAACGGCTCTCACAGTCAGGAAGTTCTTCCTCATGTTCAGATGGAATCTCCTCTCTTGTAGTTTGAAGCCATTGTTCCGCGTCCTAGTCTTCAGGGAAGCAGAAAACAAGTTTGCTCCCTCCTCCCTGTGGCTTCCTCTCACATATTTATACATGGCTATCATATACCCTCTCAGCCTTCTCTTCTTCAGGCTAAACATGCCCAGTTCCTTAAGCCGCTCCTCATAGGGCTTGTTCTCCGGACTCTTTATCATTTTAATCGCTCTCCTCTGGACACATTCCAGCTTCTCAATATCTCTCTTGAATTGTGGTGCCCAGAATTGGACACAATATTTCAGGTGAGGTCTAACCAAAGCAGAATAGAGGGGTAGCATTACTTCCCTAGATCTACACACTATGCTCCTATTGATGCAGGCCAAAATCCCATTGGCTTTTTTTGCCGCCACATCACATTGTTGGCTCATGTTTAACTTGTTGTCCACGAGGACTCCAAGACCTTTTTCACACGTACTGCTCTCAAGCCAGGCATTGTCCCCCATTCTGTATCTTTGCATTTCGTTTTTCCTGCCAAAGTGGAGTATCTTGCATTTGTCACTGTTGAACTTCATGTTGTTAGTTTGTCAGAGTTAATTCCAGATTCCTAGGGCCAACATATCAAAGGTCCTAACCTTACAACAATACTAGGCAGGCCTTAGGTACATTTCGACAGAATGAAAAACCAATAATCCAGGCTTATAAAATCCTAACGTGCTTTGCATGGACAGTTAAAACAAATCTGATGGGAACATTTTAACATGCTTTATTATCCAAGGGTTATGTTTAATTGCAAATTTACAATTTGGGACATGTAAGATAACCAACCTAATTTAAAAATACCAGTAGTATACAGTCCTATCTTCTTTAGACCTTGGGTCTGGAGAACAAGCCCTACGAGAAGCGGCTTAGAGAACTGGGCATGTTTAGCCTGAAGAAGAGAAGGCTGAGAGGAGATATGATAGCCATGTATAAATATGTGAGAGGAAGCCACAGGGAGGAGGGAGCAAGCTTGTTTTCTGCTTCCTTGGAGACTAGGACGCAATGGAACAATGGCTTCAAACTACAAGAGAGGAGATTCCATCTGAACATGAGGAAGAACTTCCTGACTGTGAGAGCCGTTCAGCAGTGGAACTCTCTGCCCCGGAGTGTGGTGGAGGCTCCTTCTTTGGAAGCTTTTAAGCAGAGGCTGGATGGCCATCTGTCAGGGGTGATTTGAATGCAATATTCCTGCTTCTTGGCAGGGGGTTGGACTGGATGGCCCATGAGGTCTCTTCCAACTCTTTGATTCTATGATTCTATGGTTTGGATGTAACATAGAGCTTTCCTTTCTGGCTTGTTTACCTTTTGTAGAGGGAAAAGGAGGAATGAACAGACTATATGCAATGCAATGTGAGAAGTGTGGTGATATTTTTTACCATAGATTTAATGTCACTGCTGAAGTATGCACAGAGAATATCAATCAAAACAGTACATCTGTGAAACCGAGAGATTTTTCAAAATATCTATCTTCCAAAAATAGCATATGTTTTAATATTTTCCCCTGATGTCTTCCACAGGAAGCCCCTCTCACCTAAGTGTAGGAGAACAACAAGACATGGTCCATGACCCCTATGAATTTCTTCAGTCCCCAGAACCTCCAAATGCCAACAACTGATTTTTCATATAGAATATTTATTTATTTTTATTTTACTGTCTGATGTTTTACTGAGATTGATGAGACAATATGCATTTTGGTTTGTCCTCTTTTTGTACAAGAATTGCTGTATAATAATGCTTATGCATATATTTATAAATTTGACTTGCATAGTAAGTATATCATGATATATGTACCATCTCATGCAGTTTTTTAGGGATATGTACTATAAAACTCAGGCAGAAACCAATTACGTATTTAAGAAACCTTATTTATTCAACTAACCAGCTGTTTATCATGCTGTCAGTTATTAAATATTTTATACTTTGTTTACAATTATAGCCGCTTAGAAATTATTCAAGGAGTATTTTCAGTGGCAATACAGGTTTCAAAACTTTGGTTGTCTTCATGGTTATTTGTCTTCCCCAAGCTGTTCACTGTGAAGATGGCTAAATTAAAATTTAAAAAAGTTGATATCCCAAGTCCAAACATTTAAGAAAAGAAAATTCACTGTGACTTTTGTTTTAGAATCTCTGTGCCAGATTGTCTAGTTTCAGTGTTTTGTGAATATGGGTGAAGTTGTACCTTCAGAAAAGAGAAATGTGTTTGTAGTTTTTAAATTAGGTATTTGAAATTTGACATTGAACGGTTTTTAAACAATTGGTATTATGTATAAAACAGAATAATTAATCAAAATATTGTAAATTATAATAAAATTCAGAAATACTTCTATTCTGGTTCTTCTGGTACATAATTTCTTTATTGATATGTACTTACATACTTAGGCGATCCCTCGTTGGACGAGTAAGATGGTCTTCCTTGATGACTATTTTTGTGGGTTTGTAGGTGACTGTGGAGCCCTATTCTTGATCCGCATCTTCTCCCACAGTGAAGGCATTGGTTTCCAGGTGGAAGGCGGTCCCGGTCGAGGTTGGCTTGACGCGCCTTCCTCCTGGCACGTTTCTCTCTTTCACCCTCCACTCATGCCTCCTCGAATTCTGCAGCACTGCTGGTCACAGCTGACCTCCAGCTGGAGCGGTCAAGGGCCAGGTCTTCCCAGTTCTCAGTGTTTATGCCAGAGTTTTTAAGGTTGGCTTTGAGGCCATCTTTAAATCACTTTTCCTGTCCACCAACATTCTGTTTTCCATTCTTAAGTTCAGAGTAGAGCAACTGCTTTGGGAGACGGTGGTCAGGCATCCGGACAACGTTGCCGGTCCAGCGGAGTTGATGGCAGAGGACCATCGCTTCAATGCTGGTGGTCTTTGCTTCTTCCAGCACGCTGACGTTTGTCCGCCTGTCTTCCCAAGATATTTGCAGGATTTTCCGGAGGCAGCGCTGATGGAATCGTTCCAGGAGTTGCATGTGACGTCTGTAGACAGTCCACGTCTCACAGGCATATAGCAGGGTTGGGAGGACAATAGCTCTGTAAACAAGCACCTTGGTATCCCTACGGATGTCCTGATCCTCAAACATTCTCCGCTTCATTCGGGAAAATGCTGCACTCGCAGAGCTCAGGCGGTGTTGTATTTCGGTGTCGATGTTGACTTTGGTGGAGAGGTGGCTGCCAAGGTAGTGGAAATGGTCAACATTTTCTAATGTTACAGCATTAAGTTGTATCTCTGGCATTGGGGAGGGGATGGCTGGTGGCTGCTGGAACAAGTTACCTGTCAACTTATATCAACCCCATAGATGTTTAAGGTTTTCTTAAGCAATAAGTCTTCAGAAGGGTTTTTAGCCAGTTCCTTTCTGTGAAATACAGCCTACAGCAGTTTTTTCTGATTATTCCCTCATACAAATACTTACCAGAGCATCTGACCTTACTTAGTGTTCAAGAAACAGATGGATCTGGTTCCTTGGTTTACTTTATTAAAACTGGCTATTTTTCATAAGGGTAGCCAATGAAGTTCCTAGTCTTTGCAGTTTGATGGCTGTCAAATAAGCAAGGGACACAGTACCTAGACTAAATAAAAAGATGACTCTTGACACAATTGTTTTGTTTTTTAAAAGAATGGTGCCATCTTTCATTCTGTTTACTGTGTCCCCAAAACACACCCAACTCTTAAGCTGCTCCTCATAATAGTCAGAAATGTGAGGCTTGGTCTGTGAAAAATCAGTGTTGGGAGGAAAGCTTGCCAGTCAGCCTCTGCAAAGTACTGAGAAAGAACAGGAAAAAGGAAGAACAAGGAGGCGATAGGACCTCTTCTAGGAGAAGATGGGGCAATGCTGACAATGGATAGGGAAAAGGCAGAACTACTTAATACCTTCTTTGCCTCAGTCTTCTCACAAAAAGAAAGTCATCTTAAACCTCAGCAAAATGGAGTGGATGAGGGATTAGAGACATCCAACTCCAAATTGGGAAACAAGTCATCCAGGTATTTCTGGCTGCTCTAAATGAGTTCAGGTCCCCAGGGCCATATCAACTACACCCAAGAGTATTGAAGGAACTAGCAGAAGTCATTTCGGAACCATTGGCAATCATCTTTGAGAGTTCTTGGAAAACGGGAGAAGTTCCAGCAGATAGGAGGAGGGCCAATGTGGTCCCAGTCTTCAAGAAGGGAAAAAAGGATGACCC